AGCCAACTGAAATCACTACAAATGTAAGACATGACTCTGTATTTTAAAAACAGTCCCTCAAACTTTACTTTTAGAACTGTAATTCGGAAGTGAATGCTTCTATAGTGTAACAACTTTTCAAAAGAAACTATTTGTCATCCTTTTAGTCATGGCATCAGGACTCTTGCTCCTCTTTCAGTAGTTCCCAATGGCAGTGATATATACTTGTTCCATTTTTTGAAGATATCACAGGTGGCAGCAGCATCTCATTTAATAAAGAATAGCTCAAATGGTGAGAAACATGTCACTTTTCTTGCTCATGGTCAGCATAGTTTTTAGCTTTTCTCAACCTTTTTGTCATATACACACTCATGCTCACCTCACAGATAACAGTGGATGATATTTAATGATAGGAAGAATCTGGCAGCAAAGATTTCAGTCTAGAGCTAATAATTTCAGGTAACAGGTATCTGGTAACCTGGTATTGGCTACAGTCTCCAGAGAAGCAGGGCAGAGAAGACAATTTATGAGCCCAATCAGCAATACTTGTTTTCTTCTGAATGTATAAACAAACTATTTTAAAGTTATGCCAGAAACAGATGCCTTTCCAAGAAATCCTGGGAAATAACATATTGGTTAGCATGAATATGGTATATTCAATGCCAATCATGTTATTTCCCAGGATTTCTGGGCATCCTATAACTTCACCACTTATCATTTCCTTCACTCTCTCAGCAATGAGCCAATATCCTAACATCAAATGAGCATGGAATTCTCTTTGGCCTTTTCCAGTGTTCTAATCCAGATTACCCTTTTGTAAATTTGTGGTTGTCTAGGCCTGAAAATACTTGTGTTTATGTGTGAACTGTGTGATATTGGCTATATAAGGAATCAGTCTTGGACACTGCAGAAGCCATTTTCCTGCAAACACAAGAAGCTGCTTGAATAGAATTAGCTCATAGGACCATACAGACTGTTACTGACACACCGACAGTAACAGTCCAAGATCCCAGGCAAGATTTTTTTTCTCCCAGACTAGCTGTGGAACTGAATCCGAATATTCATCTTTTGTAACACTTTTTCATGAGATATGGTCCTTCCACAGTGGCATTTTCCCAAGTAAAATACTCAAATCACTGTTTGAAATCTTTTTTAAATGATCTTGTAAATGATGATATTCTATCTCACACCATTATTCTCAGAGGCATTCCAGCTAGTTTTTTAAAACATGAGGTATATGGAACTTGTATCTTTGGATTGGAGCTTTTTAAAAAAGAGTAAAAATTGTACTTTCTGAATGGCAGAGAGTGAGAATTCCCATTGCCAGTCTTCATCCTATCAATCCTACGCAAACCAAAGTTTTCATATTCAGAGTAATAAATCCATGGATCAAAGATAAAAAATGTGACTTTGGTTTATCAGGAGCTTTATAGCACAGAAAACCCATGCAATGATGTTGCTTCCTTAGTAGCTAGGTTTCAAGTGAGCAGTTTTCTTATAGTTTTTTGGCCTCTGTTTACTCCAGAAACTTTCAAATACTTAGGCAATTGTGAAGTATGTAAAAATATTTTTTGCTTTTTGTTGCATTGGTTTACTTCTAACTACTGTTTTTTTAACCATCTGTTATTTGCTGGAATTATATTTAATCTCATTCGATAGCTCTGGACACAAACCGTATACCTGTTCCTAAAGTAACATGACCACTCTTCCTCTAAATGCAGAGATTCTAAAAACAGAATTAAGTGAAGTCAGAGTGCCACCTCATGGTAGTTAACAATATATACACATTAATGATGTTGGAAGCTACAAACTTTTCACACACACACAAACACAGAGTCAAATGTTCTGTTTTAACATTAAGCAATACCAGCAAATCTATGCCAGGTATTTATACTGGAAATTTTTAGACAAATTATTGGACTTAGAGAATATAGCAGAAAACAAAAGGAAGGTTTTATAGCCAGCCTTTTTATAATGGACCAAGTCCTAACATCTCAGAAAAATATATTGCAAAAATATACTGCAATATCTGAATGAGTCCTACATACAGAACAAGTATCAACCAGTATTCTGACATTCTTTATGGAGAAATCTACGACCTTCCCAGTTACATTTACTAGAACATCATAAACAGGCCTACTTGGGAAGGATAGAAAGCCACAATCTATCTTTGCCCACGACTATTTAATTTTTACAATAACCTATAAGACAACTCTGTGGCACATTGGGTCTTCTTTGAAAGATAGTGCAGTCTTTTTGTGATTAGAAATAAATATTACATTTTAGGCTGACCTTTTTTACTGGACAGTCCCATGATCATCTAAGAATATATATCATAAACAGAAAAATAATCAGTGGTATGTGAACTTCACTAAGAAGTCAATATTTATTTACCCAGGCAGATATACAGAAAGATCACAGGTGGGCAAAAAAGCAACACCAATGGGAGTATAGGAAATCACACATCACCACAGGGATGCTACAACTGCCACAACTTTGCCGATAAATCTGACCTGAACATTGTGAAAATTTCAATTGCACAGGTGTAACGGGTCCCAAATATTTTATACATTTTTTAAGTTAGCAGATTTTAGATACCTTGATTCAAACATTATTGTGGCATAATGCAACGTTTGGGCTAACCCTGTACAGACAGACAGGTAAACACAATGAGTTTCAGTAATATATACATTTTGAAATGGATCTTTTAGACAAAGCAAAGTACTATCCCTCTAAACCAGGAAGTGAGCACAAAGCAATTGTTATAGGGTTAAGAAAAGTTTTGGTTTAGATTTTCTTTTATATGGACCACTTGATGAAATTGTACCAATAACTGAAAAATATAAGCAGGGGCAGTTTATTATTCAAGAACTGATGTTACTTACTTTGATAATGAAATGCCGCAAGAAAAATTCAGAGAGCACCAAGGACCCCACCCTTCAATTCTGAATTACCAATATTCTTTTCTCTTGGTATTCAGGAAATCCAAGGTTTATGGAGTAGATTAGGAGGTCAAAAGACCTCCCAGAATACAGTGGCCACTTCCAGAATGATACAAATAAAATTATATATCCATGGAATTACCAAGTGGGAGGATTTGTCTTTTTATTTTTAATAAAACTCAGATCCTAGCCTTCATTATTTTTTTAAAAAAACCCTACAAATGTAGTCTGGAGCAGGGGTCTCCAACCTTGGCAACTTTAAGACTTGTAGACTTCAACTCCCAGAGTCCCTTTGCTGGCTGAGGGACTTAAGGAGTTGAAGTCCACAAGTCTTAAAGTTGCCAAGGTTGAAGACCCCTGGTCTGGAGCATCAGTGAGCAAGACCAAGCAAGTGGTCCATTTTAAATAACAGTACAGGTGATATTCCAAAGTCAGAGAGGTATAAAAGCCCTCTATCATCATATACTTCAGAAAATACTCAAAATAATGTTAATCCACACTAAAGTTAGTCTGAAGTCAAATGTATATCTTGATCAGCTTATTGAATATGACAGACTTTATGCTATTGCCCAATATGTTACTCTCAAGCAGGCATAGAAGGCAGATCCAGAATATTAAGCTATACTAACTGAACCTATTGATTTATCACTGCACTATATTTATTCATTTTCTTCAGCAATCACATGAATTTTGTCTTTTGTCTGACCAAGACCCCAAAATTAATTTCCTATGATAGTTGGTTTTGCTTGCAAAACTTTATACCTGATCATAGACTGGCATCTTAAATGAAGATCAGTTGGTTTAATCTCCATTTTTAGTGTTTTACTTTTTCTGTCATGACTGTACAAGTCATCTTGTATCAGTTATTTTATAATTTATTTGTAGAATTAGTTCAGAATTTAGATGAAGTTAAGTATTTGGAGATGGGCCTATATCGACATTTTAATTAAATTTTAAAGGATACTCAAAAAATAATGCAGTACATTTCTTTCCTTGAAATATTACTGAGTTGTAAATCCACAAAAGAAAATTACTCATCACATTAGCAGTAATCTCCATGCAGGAGTTGCCTACTAATCACTTCTCATATGTGACTGACAAAAATATCCAAGTCTTTGTGAACTTATTTAGATGATTCCAGAATACAGGCATTGCCATCCTTATAGAAGCCCATTTTACACTTAATTTGCTTGTGACACAAGCATCGAGGGTAGATTAACAGAACCTCTATGAATATCTATTTTTAAGAAAGAAAATGGTTTAGAAGAAACAGGTAAGCTTTTGTCTACTGAAAAACACATTGTTTCCCCCTGTATTCCTATCTCAATAACTTGTCATTTTATACCCGAAATTTTGCTCCTATAGTCCCCAATTAGCAACCGTTTGGGGGAAAATATAATTTTGCCTAATAAGTGAATGCAAGAATAAGAAACAAAATGCATGTTACCAACAAAACCAACATTATTTTCTGTATAGATCTTTCTTAAATATTGCATATATACCTGTATCAAAGCAGTAAAAATGGTGTATATTAAAAGGTGGATTAAAAAAGAAAAGTAATACACAAAGCAATTTAGAATGTAATTATATACACATCTATTCAGAATTAAATCCCACCAAATTCAGCAGACCTTACGGTTGGTCACGTAAGAATGCAGAGCATTACTGACTAAACTGCATTTTTTCCCCTTTCATTAGAAATATGTGGCCTTAAGGGTTCCTAAACTTTTTAAGTCTTAAGGGGTGAAACAGCAACACCAGTCACATTATTCATTGTCCTTGCAACAAGGGATATTTTGATTAGATTCTTTCACGTGCCCAACCTGCCCCAAGCTTTCAAAGCATTCTATATTAAGCAATTGTTATGTTTTGTTTTCACAGCAGAGATTAGTGATATCCCTGCCACTGAGATCATTGTTTCTATGGCAACAAAATATACATCAGAAAGCAGAGGCTTTCATTTCAGTGCTGTAAAAATAAGCAGAATACCCCAAAAGAAAAGCATGGCTGTTGGAAAAAGTTTTAGATCCACATAATCCACTTCAGATCCACATAATACTCCAGAACAAAAAAGAATCTGCTTATTTCATCAATCACTCCATTGAGTCTTCCTTTCTGAATGACATGTCACTATGGAAACAGTGGCATTAATTTAGGAGCATATATAAGAGGAAGTGTGAAAAGAGAACCATAGTTGGTACATTGCACTGAAACATACTATGGTTGGTTTGGATTTAGTATGATGTAAAGCCCAGTTTTCAATAGAATACAATTAAGTAAGGTGTGAACTCAGTCTGAGTGTATATGTGTGCAAAAGACACTCCCTAGACTTTATCAAAAGTATGAATCAAAATGGAAACAGCAACCATTGAGCTGTAATAAGAGTAACTCCATGCACTTAGAATTAGGTTATGAGTTAAGTAGAAAATCACAAGGGAAAATAATTGTAATAATTTAAAACTACTGTTGTGGTTACATGAAAATGATTTTGACTTCCAATTAAATACAAGCACAGGGATTAAACAACTACCATTAATTATAGAAATGACATAATCCAAACTAGTCAATATTGTAATTTCTTGGATATCATGTATGCTAGTATTGGTTTTTATTACATTTAAATCCCAGTGTTACAGTTCAATTTAATATATTACCTTAATGAAAGCATAATTGCTGTCTATATATGATGTTGTCCATTTAATGCTTTTTTTTCAACAGGATTTATGCATTACCTATTAATATATTCCCATCTCAAAAATACTATTTAATTTTATCTATGTGAATATCTTTCCTCTCTAAAAAGGGAAATAAAGTCCACTCTTATTTTTTTCTCATCATATTAAATGAACATATGAATGGTTTCTGCCTTGAATCTCATTTTATTTATTTTTCACATTTCTGAGCCACCTATGTCCCTCAGAGAAATACTCTATGTACAATAAAATCATGTGATAATAACAAACAACATAATGGTAGCAACTATATAACTGTGATATCAATAAAAGGACAATATTTATTTTAACATATTTTATAAGTTAATTGGATTATATTTATTTTATGATGCCACACAACACTTTCTGTGTTTAGTAACTGAACAAAGAAAGCATATTAATCTGAAAAATGGAACAGCATGCCAAAATTGACTCAGAACAGAAACCTGTGGATTTCACAGTGGGAAACTGGTTCAGTAAATTAAGAACTCACAATGCTGCCATTCTGGTTTCCATTCACTAAAGCCAGCATTCCCAACAATATACCTTATATATTACTTGTCACCATGTCTTATTTTTAAAATCCTGGCTATCTTACAAGTGTTCAAAAGCAGTATTCTAGCACAGACCTTCCATAACAATACTTAGCTGAAGGTTTTCTTTTACTTTTTGACAGTATGGTTTTTAAATATACATTACATTTTAACATTTCAACTTTCTTCTGCATAGAATCTTGGAGAGAATCTTGGAAGCATTTCTATATAGGACAGGTTTACAAAAGAATCTAATATGGTTGCAGTTTTCTGTAAATGATTATAAGCATGAAAGACAAGCACCTTCCATGCCAGATTACTGGGAACAGAAAACAGTCAGATCTTTAAGTCAGATGTACAAAAAGCATTGAATAGGCTATACTCTGTATGAAAAACATTTCATAGTTCTACATTTTTAAACACTGTGAACAATTTCATGATTGTGACTCTGCAGAATATAAAAGAAAGTAACATGGCATACAAATTCTGTATCTGAAATTATCAAATGCTTTAGATATTGGAAAATATATATAAGAAGGAAGACAAGCACAAAGTTTTGACATATTTTACAAGTATATCTTCTGCCAAAATAAAGTATATCTTCTGCCTTACCTGCATACGAAACTAAAATTGATTCATGTCCTTAAACACACTACCTTTCACAGTAATTCTTAGATTCGTTGTCAATTTCAGGGTTAGAATATCCATCTACTACAAGTTTCCTATGGAAAGTATATAGAACGGCTGCATATTATTCATTTCTGAATACTGTAATTCTTCTGATTTGTGGTGTGAATAGGAAAACAAAGGGCTTTAATGGAGCTGTTTATATTAAATGCAGGACACACACAATTCTGGAAATCATAACTTTCCTTCCTAAAATCAGTTTACTGTACTTATAAATAGCTATGAGAGCTTGTTACCAACTAAGTGACACATGGAAAAGTAAATTCAGGTTGCATTATTCATATTATCAAAATATTGAAATCTCTTTACATTTTGTGGAATTTACTGTAGTACCTGACAATATGACACAATCATATGAAAATATAGTCCAAACTCCTTGTTGATGGGTAAAATCCATTACTACAGCAACCTGAAGCAGGCCAATTTGGTTTTACAAAGCTGTAATAAGTAAGAGTCTTCCACTTTCAAAGGTAGCCTGTTTTTATTCTGGAATGGACCTTATCACCATGTACACATTCTTCATGGATAATCAACCTTTTTTTTTTTACTTTACTGATCAGAAAAAAAGTTGGAATACTTTTTTTTCTCTTTCCTATTATCCCACACCTTTCTTTTCCTCCATTTCTCTATCATCTTTATTTTCATTTGTATTTTATATTATGATAATCTCAATAAAATGTATATTATAATGGATAAACTAACCATTTTACTGAATTGTATCAACTTGGTACAAGTTTTTAAAAATATACCAACTGGGCTATCAGAAAACATTTTCTTCATTTACATCAGAGGCACAAGTTTCTATCATGGAAATTGCGTTCTTTTAAAAAATAAATTGTGACAGGAAGATCCAGGACATATTTTAACCCATTGGGTAGCTGAATAATTTAGTTATTTTGTTTTGCAGTTTAAATTACATTAAGCCCATTCAATTGTACAACTTTAATAACAAAAATCTAACAAATACCAAAGTCAAACTGAAATAACTGAGCTTGACTTCTGTACTAGAAATCAATAAAACTATACTGAAAGAACAGACTAAGAAATTGCTGGTTTTAGTATAGTAATACTATTGGGTCAAGTATGTTTAGACTAGACTACACATATTGTTTATTCAAACTGTATTTTCAAATTATATAGAAAAGCTGAGGGTATTTTGTTTACAATTGAGTTACATATTAGAGTTGTATTCTATACTTACAAAGTAACCATTGTAGGAAAGATACGAGCTTTTAAAGAGCATGTAGAATATAAAAATCAAGTCAGGCACTTCCATTTTTTTTCAGTTTAAAAGGAGAGAGCTCCACCAATACCACAAGGCAAAGAAGGTTGATGAATTGTTATACAAAATACATTTCCTATTTAGTTTCCTTTTTTATAAAGGCACTTTATATACAGATAGGGAACTGGTTAATAATCCTGTTAGCCTCAATTTTAATCTAGCTTCTTTATCATAGAAACACTTTGATACAAATGTAAGTGCATTTTCTTTTGCTTTTCTACAATTAAAATATTTGGTACTGTAAGAAATATTGAATTTACACTCCTTCAGAAATTATCAGATGACATCATGATGTCTTAGCCACTTGGAACAAAAATATCAAATTATTTTCTTCACATGAATAGGAATCTGTCAGAAGTGGGTTTGAAGTCTTTTATTTTCTTCACGCAATCTTTCAATTTCGGCTACTAAACTGTCATTTATAGAATATCTTTCAAGTAAGGCATGCATTTCATTCTAGAGAAAAGAAAAGAAAATCAATATGTAACAGAATAATTAATATTAAATTACTGTTAAATATGAAATTTCAATAGCAACAATTAAAAAGCACCTTCGGGTTTTTTTTTAACAGAAAGGTAGACTTTGTAGTTGTCACGAACAATCAAAAACAACCAAAATGTTGTCACATTCTTTACTTTTTAAGTAAACCAATAATCTGGAAATGACCATTGCTAAACCCAACAATCTTGTACCATTTTTTGTCCTGGCTCCAACCTCCCCCTTTCAGGTTGCTGAAAAGTTTCGCACTGTTTGGCTCCACAGTAAAGGATTATGGAATTGCATTTTAAAACATCTGCGTGCCCCAGATTTAGAATAATAAAATATTAAGCGCTGCAATGAAAGGGAAGTTTGTCAACATATATGTACACCTCTTTATATTTGTATACATACCAACTGAACATGAAACTGTTTGATCATTTCTACTTGCAAATTTACAATGTCACGATGACAAGCTTCCCTGAGGAGAGAAAAACACCAATTTATGTCACAAGTCTAGTCGTTTTTTTTCTCCAACTCAGAGATTTACTACTACAGAGGTAATTTCAAAATGATAAACTATCATCCCACTATATCCCCTCACTTCAATGTTAATCTATTTCTTTGATGGAACCTACTAGAAATAAAAGGCTATTAGGAAAGAGACCGTTTCTCTTCATCTTACTGCATTTCCAGTGTCAAGTACCCAATATGACAGCTAATGCATCAGGCTTCTATTACTCTGGTAAATGGAATACAGAGAAAAATATCTGTTTATTTTAATGAACAGAAGTGTGCAAAACTCTCGTGGTGGAAAACTCTTCTGTGGGAAATTCTGCAAAATTGTATAATTCTGTGAATACTTCTACAAAATACAACAGGATAAATATAATTTGTGACATAATATGACAAGTAAGAAATTGTATGTTTTGTTGCAGGCACAAACTATGCATCAGTTTGTGTGCGTGAGCATGCATGTGTGTGTATATGCACAATACAGTTTGCTGAATCCTAAACTGGAAACTATGAAATCGACTGTTTTGATTCTTTCTTCTTAGGAAACATGCTGTTCACACTGTTTCAGTGTCTCAGGCTGTTTCTCTCCCCCCATATACCCTATTTTATTACAAGTATTAAATAATCCCCTAAATTAGGAGATTCTCATAGATTCAAAAGTGTGTAATTTGCCTATAGTACGTGAATACTCAGTACCAGTACCAATGCACTAAAAGAGTCTATTTTGTATTTATCTTGAAAAAAATTGGAAATAGAAGCCTTACCAAAAATTTAGATAATTATTTTCAAACACTTGGTAAAATATACTGCCTAAAATATTTGCTATATTTTAGATATGAATTGAAATAAGTACAAATAGAAAACATTTCTTTTCATTCTCAATAATTTTCCACAGGACTACTTCTTCTAATAAAAAAATACAAGAGGGTAGTCTTCTAAATTTTTGTTGCACTGGTTACTTGTTTGCACTGCGCTTGAATACTTTATACAGTAAAGCCATCAATGAATGCATAATCTGACAAGGGATTCTTCAGTCTGATTGTTACAGAGCATAATGCTGTTCTATGACCAACAGAAAGAAATTATCACTCATTTGCCTGCTAAACTTCACCACTATATAGTAGCATTCTAGTATATTACATTATTTAAAATGTAATATAATAATATTTATCAAATAAAAGAAAAAATATTTTATGCATCTAGTTTCTACAAGAAACTTCCAGGTGAGGCAATGTTCAATATGTAACACAAAAAGAGTTGGTTGTACTTTGATATGTAAATACCATGTTTCTCCAACAATACGGCCTCCACCAATAGGAAGCCCCACCATGTTTTATTGGCATAAAATCAAATTAAGCCCCTCCCCCCAAATTAAGCCCCATATTAAACATGTAAAATGGGGGGGAGCGGGGGGGGCTTGCCGTTAGTAAGTACTTTTGTTGCATGCCCGGATATGGTGCTGCCTGCGTTGGTGGGGCACTTCATATCGGGAGACCTTCCACCGTTGCTTTTCCCTTCTCCCTTGCTTTCCCTTCTCCCTTGCTGCTGTGGCGTTTGGCGCAGCCACGTGCGGCCAGTCAGGGCTCCTCCCTGCAACCGGAGCCCTGAGGAGACACTTGGCTTCAGGCGCTCCCGTCTTCCCTTTGCTTTCGAAGGTAAAGCGAATTATTTTATTTTATTATTATTATTTTAGTATTATTTTATTATTTTATTTTGCCCAGCCCTTACGGCTCTGGCGTGGCCCTGGCGGGCAGCGAGCGCCTCCCCGCCGGACCCTCCACTCATCCTGCCAGGGCCGCGCCAGAGCCGTAAGGGCTGGGCAAAGCTGGGAAAGTGAGCCGCGGGTGTGTGCATGCCTCCTCCTGCCCCTTGTTCCCAAATCTCGCCCGGGCTGGCGGGCGCTAACCTCGCTCGTTCTCCCCGCGTCGGGCTACGGGTGGTGGCTGTTTCCGCTGCGAGCGGCTCAGACCCGCTGATGCTGCTCCGCAGCCGCCCGCCTGGCCTTTGAGGTGGAAGAGCTCGCTGGGCTGAAGGGAGCGGCGCGTCAGAGGCGCGCAGCATAGGGAGGTCGGGGAGGAACGGAAGAGGCCCCGGGAGATTAGCCTCCCCACGTGGGGTTGGGCTGCCCTCTCGGGCAGGGGAGGCTTTGTAAAATAATTCGCTTTACCTTCGAAAGCAAAGGGAAGACGGGAGCGCCTGAACCAAGTGTCTCCTCAGGGCTCCGGTTGCAGGGAGGAGCCCTGACTGGCCGCACGTGGCTGTGCCAAACGCCGCGGCAGCAAGGGAGAAGGGAAAGCAACGGTGGCTCGAACCCGAAGGTCTCCCGAATATCCAAGCTGTCGCCGCCTGCCCACCCACCCGAGGATGCAAGGGGGGAGAATTAAGTCACCCCCCGAAAAGACGTCCTAGCCGTTTTTTCGGGGGTCAAAAAAAAATAAGGCCCGGCCTTATTATGTGAGAAACACGGTATTTACTTTTGTTATCTTGGCAAGCTTCTAAAAAATATGGATCCAGATAAAGGAACATAAAACATTAAAGAAGCAACTAATATACTATAGTTAAGGAATGTTACTACCAATCATAGAGGAAGACCTATGATTAAAGGAATATCTGCAGTGCTTTAGATAAACAATGCAATATAAACCTATTGAACTTTAATATTTATAGTATTTGTAATAGTTTTCTAGAATTCTATGAATAAAGTACAGTAGAGCCTGAGCAGATTCAATAGTAGAAAATCTAAGGTGCCACCCACCTCACCACACTGCTCCACAAGAGTTCTCCTGATCATTGGCCATCTTGGCCCTGGCTTCTAAACATTAAAGTCCAATAACATCTAAAGAACATGATTTCTCCAGTTATGCTATAAACATTTTCCATCATCACCACTATATGGGTCTCCTGCATTTTTTTAGGGGGGGGGGGATTTTTACAGAATCAACCCAGAAATTACAAGACTGACACAAAAATCGCACCCCCGAGGTCTTCAAGTTCCTCTTGAGAACTAGTACTGTACATTTAGCAGTTTTCATTTTCTTCAGGACCTGAGGTATTTTCTGCTAAGCGAATTGGAGAGAAGATAACTACTGATGAATGAGCAGGGAATTTCATGCATGACAGCCTGTAATAGTTATATGAAGATAGGAAATGATATGAAAATGACATTAGCAGTTGTTTCAAGACTGACAAAATATTATTAAGGCAACCATTTCACGTTTTTAAGAAACCTGTTTCACTCCTGAATCAGGGCACACCAAAATCAAAATGGTTCAGTTTTGAAATATTTTATATACTATGTTAGGTATAACATTGATACCAAATATGGTTTGGGTGAATAAATATATAAAACTTAGATATCATGGTTTAAGTGCTTATCACTTTAAGCACAATGCTGCAGGCAATTAGCCGATTAAGGGTGCGGTTAGAAGTTACAATATAAGGAAGCATTAGAAGCTGGAAAGCTTACTGTGACTAACTGTGTCTTACTGCGACTAACTGTGTCTTACTGTGACTGTAACTGTGCCTGTGACTGAGATGTTCCTGTCTGCTACTGTTTTGCTGATTTATTGCTGAATTCAACTGTTCTACTGTTTGAACTTCTTGCTGAATATCCAGCGTTTGTTCCTCTGGAGAGAGGCACCGGAGGAGGAGAAGATATCTTTATCGGCTGATAAAGATATTGCAAGGACTATTAACTTGGACTATACTAGTGAGTCTTACTGGATGGAAATACTGTGAATGACTTAATGGACTGAATGACAATGCTTTAAACTCTAAATGGATTAAAAACTATTTAAACTACAAACAGTGTTTGTGTTCAGTGTGTGTATACTCTGGGGCCCTTCCGCTCTCGTTTGGCTGTCTGGTTTGACTACTGCTGCAATACTCTGCTAGGGGTTAATCCCCAAACACTAACATACTAACATATACTAAGTGGTAAAGTTCATGAAAAATAAATGTGTAGAACAACATGGTAAAGTAACATATGAATCTAATTCTCTTTACCTGAAATCATCCAGAGTTTCTTGTATCATATTCTGAATGAAATGAATTTGTATTGACGATAAAGGTGCATTCAATCGGCTGTTTCCAATAGTATCTACTATTTTCTCAGATAGTGTACTAGCAACTCCAGAAGTAATATTGGAGGTTATCTTTGGACCTATGCAAAATAACCAAGAAGTGTGAGCATTTCAACTGTACAGGAATAAAAAGAAGGGAAGCAGCCTGCAAGCTAGCATATTGAAAAGACATCTATATCTACTCTTACCATGTCATTTCTCATCATAGTCTATAATGCAAAATAAGGAAGAGTTATTAATAATTCCTCACTCAGTGTACAAATTTAGAGCAAGCTTATGACCAAATTATTAAGGATAAAATCTTAAAGGATACTAATCAAATTTGAAGAAACTAATCATATCTTGAGTATTATACCACAAAAGTTACACATACCTGTCGAGGTAGTACCATTAATTGGTGATTCATATAAAAGTTGTGTCTGGATATTCTTAATAAGTCTTTCTCTGGAATCAGGACTCTTGATTAAATTGGCAACAGGTGGAGTATTCAGAGCTGAAGACTCAGAGCCCGAGTTCAACTACAGCAGGAGGGGACAGAAAAAACAAGTATTAAAATCCCATAACAATATAAAAAAAGGACAGGAGAGACCTATCAAAGCGCAATAAGTGGTTATTTTTGCTACCAGCATGATTGTTGAAATGTAACAACTTCTCGCTTATTTGAATGCTATTTATCACATACTAGGGTGCAAATCCTAGTGATCCAAATCACTGGCAGCTCTTCTCTCCTCAAATGCAATAAGTATATCTGATCTGCTTATTATAACTTTCAAGAGGACGTACACAAGGCTTTTGGGTTTTAATCCATATATGTTCTTAACTTGTCCATGCAATATCAGGTTTTGTATACAGTAGCATCTATAGCAGGGCTGTCAAACTCGCAGCCCACCAGCCAGATGCATCTGGCCGTGCCGTGTAGCAAAGGGGGGGGGGGAAGTCCCAACATGTCACGTGATGCTGCCATGAGTTTGTCAGTCCTGGTCCTATAGCATCTATCTAATTTTAAGTCTGTTTTTAACTGTTCTTTTTAAGTCACATTTTTATATTGTTTTATGATGTTTTTTGTAAACTGCCCAGATTCACTTAGGTGAGATGGGCAGCATACAAATTTGATAAATGAATAAATATGGAGGTGAAAACAAGGATCGAGATGCCGACTTACAAAGCAGGACCCATCCCGTTTTTATCACTTGATAAACTCTCATACTGGGACAAAGTGTCAAACTATCAAATAAGCAAGTACCATAATTCTGGCATGTTAGAATCATTCAAGAAAACAAGGTCCAACCTATGGGTAGTCTTCATCATTCCTTTCCTTCTAGGACCCAATAATAATAATAACAGCTGATAGTTCCAAAATGAACAGAAGAAAAACATGTGCATATAGTCACAGTGTTCCGAATCTATCTTGTTACAAAACTGATGCAGATGACAATCTTAAAGGTCATTCCTGTAAGATTGTATGACGGAAGAAGTAACAGCTTTTATGTTTTATGCAAAGGGGAGAAGTTGAAAGCAAAATAAAAAGCAAAACTATAATCACACTATACCTGTTTGATGTGCTCATTGGATTCTTGTTTTCCATGATTTGTTTTTTTAGCATCAATATCTGGATGCTCATTTTCCTCTTTAATGGGGGATCCAGAAAATATATTAAATGGACTTGAATGAACAATATGTGGATTTGATCCTGCTGGATTTTTTCTTGCAGGTAAAGCAGTATTAAACTGAGAGAGAAAATCCATGCTTAAAAGATAAGACTGAAAATCCAAACCTATAATGCAAAGCAAAAGATCATATATTTGCATTGCTTAATTAAAAACTTTCTTGATACATAGTCGAAAGTCTTTTGAAATGGTTTTTTACTGTTACTTCTAGATTTCTGGTATAATACTACTACTACCATTAATAAAACAGAAAGTGCTTACCATCATTCTTTCCTGGAACATCTTCATTTGTTTTACAAGCCACAATATCTAGAAAAGATAAATAGATATTGATAGTATAAGAAGAAGAAGAAAACAGTAGTCCACTTTTAATCTAATTTTACAGAGAAATTCTGTTTTCTAAGTTATGAGCTATTCCATCAAGTTTGTATCATTTATAAATGTAATAAACATTCACTCCATTTCTTCATCCAAATCATTGATAAAAAGTATTGAAGAAAAAAAAGATCCATTTAGGATCTCCCTCCAATTTGATAAGAAATAATTGATAAGCATTCTTCAAGTCAACCTTGGGTCCACCTAATATATATGGCTACAGACTAACATTCTAACCATAAGAGCCAATAATATAGTAAGAGTCCTAATGCAATAAGCAGAGTTCTTACCAGAAAACATACAGTTTAATTTCAGCATCAACATACCATCTCGAAGTGGAGAAAATAGGTCACCCAAACTATTTCTTCCCAAGTCTTCAAAATTACTTGAATTAGAAGTATTCCCATGATCCATCTCTTTGGAAGGAATTACATCCAAACTGCTGCTCTGGGTCAAACCTATAAAGGGAAAACATTTTTTAAAAATAAATTTAAGAATAAACCAAACTCTCATTCATGCAAGCAACTTCTGTTTTCATAAGCAATATAATTTGGTATATTGAAGAGTCATAGCAATAATAAAACAAGTCCAGCAGATTTCAGATAAGGGGTTTAGAGATTTATAATAAGCTGACCTTTAAAAAGACGGAATGCTGCCAAAATATAATTGGTAACATGTTCCACACAACCAATGGAGCTTATTATTGAGGAAATATAATTAATATTGAATTGCAAGCAAGAGCCATAACCATTACCAACCATTACCAACCATACCTGTTAATAACTTTAATTGTGTGGACAATGAATACTAATACATTTTGTGCCAAGACACCCACAATACTGGTAGAATGCTTGTTTCCCTTAGGCATTAATTAGCAATACAGGAAGGGTTGGCAGACACATTTGCTGTCTGAATGAAGAATCACACCCCTCCCATTGTATGTGAACTTGCAGTTGTGTATTTCTTCAGCCTAAGTAAAAGTATCTGCCAGGGCACCTTAAAGTTATACACTAGTTTATGGGTGCTAACAGTAATGACTATTTCATTTTGTGTACTGGTGATATTGGCCTTAAATACAGGACAGAATTGTTTTTTCTGTAAATAAGTATTTCTCAAAATGTCTTCCAAATCTTAAAAAACGCATTATGCTGCCATCTAAATGTATTTATTGTATCTGTAATTGGAATTTTCTGGACAGATTGCAAAGCTATTCAAAACAAGAAAAATAATGAATAGTAAGAATACATTTGATATTTTTAAAAAATGCCCATAAGCATCCAGAAGTCTACAACTTTTTGTTTCTAGCCATTGCCTAGAATGGCACAATGAAAAGGATTTCTAAAATTGACCACAATGTCAAAATCAGAATTTTGTTATATTGTTTTATGCAAATTCTATATACAGTTATCTTTAAAAAGAAAGACATGCAATTTTCAAAAAGAAAGGGAATAGAATGGAATGGAATAAACAGAGCTGGAAAGGCACTTTGGAGGTCTTCTAGTCCAACCCCCTGCTTAGGCAGGAAACCCTACACCACTTCAGACAAATCATTATCCAATCTCTTCTTAATAACTTCCAGTGTTGGAGCATTCACAACTTCTGGAGGCAAGTTGTTCCACTGATTAATTGTTCTAACTGTCAGGAAATTTCTTCTTCGTTCTAGGTTGCTTCTCTCCTTGATTAGTTTCCACCCTTGCTCCTTGTCCCCATGGATAAATTATTACATGATTTTTTTAAAATATTGAAATAAATAATGCTGGGAATAGCAGACGTAGAAAAGGGTCATACTCTATTACTCTGGTGTTATGCTCTGTCTTTCTCTGCCTCTGCCTCTGCCTCTCTCTCTCACACACACACATACGGGGCGGGGGGAAACATATCTGAAGACATTGTATAGTTCAATTCTGCAGAGCTATGCACTATGTTTGCCTAAATAAGTCTGGGTTTATGAAGATCTTCAGCAAAGATGAAAAGATAAAATCAGGTTACTAGATACATAGTTCTTGAGTTAACAGCCCTGCAACAGCCTCTGGATAGGCCAAATTTCTTGTCCGAATTCAACAGCAATGCCACACTGTATATCAGTTTTAAGCATATGCTGTTTTCCCTGGCCCCAAGATGATAATTTTTTTATCATAGCCCAGCTTTTTTGCCAGGGGGAAAAATCACAGCCCTTGCTAGAGTGAATAACTTTGTACAACAAAAACATTTCAGCGGGGTTACAGAAATGTTAAAACAAAACAATGAAATAAGAACTTATATTGATTCTTTAGCACTTTTTCCGTAACAGGATTTTTTTTTTCAACAGCTTTCAAATTCCTTTTTTTACCTGATTTATCTGGAATAGCATCACTTCCTTTAACTTCATTACTTGGCATGGACTGGGGCAGGAAAGTAGTAGGTACATTAGATGTAAGATTTTTTAAAATACCAACATTCTGAATTCCTTTTTTGCAAGTTTGTTTACTTGAGCCTGTTTTATGACTAGACTAAAAATAAAAATAAGTATGTCAGAAATATTCCAAATTAAAAAAGTTATCTACAGCTATGACTAGAATCAACTATCCTGACATTTTTAATCCTTGTAAAAATAAAGCATTCAAACAAATAATTTTCATGCTAAATGTCAAACCAGTATGATTGGAAATTACAGCCATTTTGTAAACATAAAAACTGTACAGCTTGAACACAATTAAAACATAAACACAATTCAAAACTTAATAAATATGCATGATTTCTTTATTGATTTACTATAAATGGAAAATATTTAGTTTTCTTTTCTTAATCAACATTTTATCAATATGCACAAGGTGTTTTACCTTTGAAAAACTGTTACAATTCTGCAGTGTTATGCATTTCACAGATGTTTTGTGAGCACTGACTGATTTCACAGGTGCTGTCAGCTTTCTTAAATCATAATGATATATTTTTCCACGAGAAGAGCCAATAGTGAGTGAAGTTCCTTCAGGCATGAATTCTACTGCAGTTAGAGGAGTTTCTGCTACTAAAGTTCTCAACTGCCTTTATATGTCAAATAAAGATATTGAACACAAAAGGAGGGGGGAAATCCATAAGAATCTTACATACAATTTTTTAAATAAAAACTTTTATCTTACTGAGTTTTCTGTTGGGTTTGATCTGGTTACATCTGTACATCTGACCCAAGATTATTCAGTAGGCTTCAGACCAAAATAACATTTGAGAAACACATTTTCCTGATAAATGATAAATGATTATCTACCAATATGCCCATTTTATCTTTTAAGTTTTATTATTTATTCATCTTATATTTAAATATTTATACATAAAATTAACACGCAAAGGTCAGCATTCTAGTAAAATTCAAGTATGTGGCATAGCAAATTGAATTCTCGGAATCAACATCCTATACCGTATTTGTGGCTTCTGCCTAGATTTTATTTTCAAACACTCCAATTATTATAGGTTTATAATAAAAAAAACAGATTTAAGGTTTTAATTGTCTGAGACAGTAAAATAAATAATAAATTTCAAGGCATCAACACTGGATTTTCTCCACTTTTCCCATTTGATTTAATCTATCTAATAATGAATTGCAGAGAACTCTAAATTCAAGAAGATTTGACATATGAGTAATCATTTTCAGGTTTCATCACTTTATCTTTACTTAAGCAAACAAGATTTTTATATATGAAAAACATTCTAAAAACATTTTCAAACACAGATTTAATTTACTTTTTGATATTATTTATTTAATATAAATTTATTATTTATTATACATTGGCAGGCCATCTCACTATCAAGTGTCTAGCTGAATCTGACAAGTATATATTTACCTTTTACTTGCTGTGTCGTAGAGAATTATTCTTTTATCTAGACCTACAGTTACAAGCAGCAATTCACTGATGGGAGAAAAACAGATTTCATAAGCTGGAGCTTTATGAGCATTTTCAAAGTTATGGTACGGAGTTTGACTGTTGACATCCCATAGGGTTACAGTTCCACTGTCAGAGACGCTACCCAGTAATGCTTTCTTAAAGGGAGAATATTTCAAATGTCGTATGGGCTGTAAGAAAACAAACAAATAGTATTCCATAATTTCTATTTCAACTAAAGTTTGACTTAGCCAAAATCCAATTCTAAAGATTTAACTCAAAGTAATTAATTGCCCCACATTCATAATGTTTAATGTGCAGGGAATCTTTTAATCAAAGACTGCAAGCTGATGCATATTTGTGATAAATGTACATTTCCAAGGGGTCTTAAGATTGTATTTTTAATCCTATTAATGAAATAATTTATTTCTCTTTTTACAACAGTTCAGGATCAAATAATAAAGTAAAGGTAAGTTGAAATCTCAAAGTATCATAATCACATATGAAAGCAAAGGAAAGTGGTGATATATGCATACAAGTAGCAGCTATTAAAGTAGCCACACACATCTGAAAAAAGTTGTGGCATTTTTAATTATTTTAAAAGAATTGTAACATTTATACATTTCATAGGATCTCTTTCAAAAAAAACTGGGAAAACCTAACATTTCTTAAGAACTGAAAGCCTTTAAAGTGAGATATTTCTATTTCAATCACCACTAAAAACATTTTACTACATTTTACTTATACATTTAGAAGTATAACACTTGTAATTTGGAAAGAATGGTACATAAAAACAGCAATGTTTTATTAAATGTATTTCTAAATGAAGCTATTTCATAATCTCACCCATTTAAAAAAAACAAGCAACATCTCTCACATTAACACATAGGAGGCCAGATATTGTTGTTTCAATATAAAATCTATGGAAATACAATACAGATAGTCCTTGACTTACAACAATATAGTGACCATTTAAAGTTACAATTGAAAAAAAATGACATAAGACCATTTTTCATACTTATGACCATTGCAGCATTCCCATGGTCACATAATCAAAATTCAGACACTTGGCAACTGACTCATATGTAAGATGGTTGCAGTGTCCTGGGCTCATATGATCACCTTCTGACAAGCAACGTCAATGGGGAAGCCAGATTCACTTAACAACTATGTTACTAACTTAATACCTGCAGTGATTCACTTAACAACTTTGGCAAGCAAGCTCGTAAAATGGGGCAAATTCAATTAACAAATATCTCATTTAGAAACAAAAAAAATGGGCTCAAATGTTGTAAGTCTACTTGTTTACAACAAGTCACTGTACAGGCTCTGACTGGGGGTGGGGAGCACTGGTACCTTTGAAAAAGGATTTTCTCTGTACGTTATTCCCATTTTCACATAAATATGAGAAAGCATGAATCCTAATTCAGCATTTTAATAAAAATTCCACCCTTAGAGGTCACCAGGAAAGAAGGAAGCATATTAAAGATGGCTTAAAGTATTAACTACTCTATGAGACACTATCCAACAATGTGACCCGAACATGTGTTTTTATTTTTTTCGTCAGGATTTTTCTTTTGTTTGTTTGCATTTGTTGCTAGATCTGGCCTATTTTCAAATTTACTAGTCTGCCAGTTTCTTGCCCCACACAAAATCTGGTCCTGTTTATTCAGTTTTGGAATGTTGAACAATAATTTTGTTGAACTGAAAAGAATAACAAACTAGAAAAAGCATGCAGAACATATCTTTATATCACATAGATTTGGATCAAAGCACAGTGACCTGATTTTTCCTTTCTAACAGCAATCCTATGACAGAGAACTGGGCAATGCAACCGGAAGGAATGCAGGGGTGTAGAATTAGAAGAGCCAACAGCATTCTGGCGCTGCTGCCCAATTATCTTAGGGATGCTCTAGGACAGTGGTTCTCAACCTGTGGGTCGCAACCCCTTTGGGGGACGAACGACCATGTCACAGGGGTCGCCTAAGACCATCAGAAAACACTTATTTTCGATGGTCTTAGGAACCGAGACACCACTCCTCTATCCTTCTTCAGATACGCCCACATGCACATACGCCCACATACGACTACCCGGCATGATGACATCATTGTGCCAACCCCATCACATATACCCCGTACAAATACAGGTGTATGTGACAGGGTTGGCGTCATAATGTACTTATGCAGACCAGTTGCACATGTATAGAGAGCAGCTACTGTGTAGAAAGCAGCTACTCTGTTAAAAGCACCTACTGTGTTGAAAGCACACTATTGGAGGTAAAACGACACTTCATGAATTATAATTACTGGGTAAATGTAAAATCATGTACTGTAAAATCATCAACTACTGCAAAAAAAAAATCTGTACCATGGGAACTTAATCTGGATGCTGATCGGTCTTTTTATATTCAGCTGTGGTTGATGTGAATACTGCTCCCTTGTGATAGTAACAGGTATGTTAAAAAAACAACACAGAGAATGGTAAATCATAGGAAACTTAAATGAACTGTATTGACTGAACTATGCCATGTATCATCTTTTGTATTATTAAAGCTATTGTTATTTATTATTTACATTACAATTCATAACAGTAGCAAAATTACAGTTATGAAGTAGCAATGAAAATAATTTTATGGTTGGGGGTCACCACAACATGAGGGACTGTATTAAAGGGTCGCGGCATTAGGAAGGTTGAGAACCATTGCACTAGGAGATTATTTTCCCCTCTTCAGGCCCAAGACCAGAGTAAATCATTTTTAAAATATGTATACATAAATTAGGTCCCAGTTCTCTTGCAGAGGAACAGAGCTCTGAGCTCTTATACATTATTTATTTCCAACATTGTGTCAGGTTGGAAGGAGTGAAAACAATGGGACACAGACAAGGACATTTACTGTTGTGGTTCAACTCTGTGGTCATAGCATAGCATATAGTACTCAGAGAAGAGATTGAAACTGATACAATATCCAGTAGTGAGAAACAGAAAAGTAGTACCTGAAAAACCTTTAACTGAACGTCAGCACTGATACCACATTTTTATTATAAGAGCAGCCCTTTCAAATGTTTAGTCAGCAAGTCTGCCATATAAGTTTCACTGGAGTGACATGCAATTACAATTTAACAACTTTTCACATGGTAGGCAATTCTGCAATAACAATGGAAACTTTTGAATCCTGACAAGAATGCCAAGCTTAGTGTCTCCTCTTTATTGCTATTTTTTTCAAGACTGAGGCTGTGATTCAGCAAGATATTATGAAGCTAAAATTGATGGGATAATGCCCTTTTTAAAAAAATGAATGCGTTATTTGTTACCATGGAACAAACTTCCAATGAGATTATTTTCACAAATCTTCATATATTCAACATTTAGCATGCTTTTGAACACACATTTCAAAGCAGTGCACGAAAATGCTAGAAGAATTTATAGGGAAGTGGGGCCTACTAGATTCTTTCTACCTCCGCGAAGTCTGTTGACCACCTCTTCATAATTAGAGGCGGGACATATTCTTATTATAATATTAAATTTATATCCCACCTTTATTTACTTAATTTACAATAATATACACAAAGACCCTAGAACCTATTTTTCTTGCAATAACCACCCTGTGAGGTGGATTGGATTTAAAGAGAGTGGCTAAAAGCCATCCAACCAAGCTTCTGTGCCTAAGGCATGACCAGAATTCAGTCCTTTGCATTTTAACCACTGTTCCAAACTGGGCTGTATATACAACAAAAGATGCATCTTTTAGAGGCTAAAATGAACATGCAGGTATTTTAAAAAAGCTGTACAAGAAAATCAGAAGTGTCAGAGTAAAACCATTTACTGTTGGAAAATAAATAATTCATTCAGTTTCAAATAAACAAGCAGAAAACCTGAAACATTTAATGTTTCTACTCATAAATTTCATTAAAAAGAATGAATAATTTCATTAGCATCATATATTTATATAATATCTATTTAAATTTCATTTACCAATATTATTATAACAAATAATCTTAATTTCACTATTAGAATTTTCATCCCTGAGTCATAAATCCCTATATTTTACATTAAGATGGATCTAGATTTAAGAGCAATTGAACTTTTCTTCAGCTGGCTATAATGAAAAGTTATAAATGGCAAAACAAACCACAGCCAGGAATTTAAAGTGCATACAGAAAAGTCCAATTAATATAATCCACCTATATGTCTTTTAGCACCTTGTCAGTAAAGATCCAATTTTTCATCCCTACTGTCATTGCTTTGGTCTTTAAATAAAATCACATTGTCTATCAATAACTGTCAGACACAATTTCCCAAATAAGCCACACATAAAGCAAGCAATGACAACTTTATTAGCTCTGCTATGAGGTGGCTTTTTAAAAAAGAGTAAACTGACTATTAAAAAGTTTGCATTGATATAACTGATGGGTGATAACTATGAATCAAAAACATCAAAGTTTCTTCAAAATGGGCTTTTGCTTTTAATGAACACAATGCCACTATCATATCTTTTGCAAAGTTGTACCATGTAATATTTAGTTTGTTCAGGTTACTAAAAACAAAACAAAACATTCTTGTAAAAAGAAAGATGCAATAATATACCTAAAAATAGTTTATACCATTAGCATCTGATTTTCTGCTAATGTAACAAAAGGATCCCACATTTTCATACATATTACCCTGTAAGTTTTATTCAATTAAAAGTAAATAGAACCAACCAACTTTCCATTTATGTACGTAGTCATTATCCCTTTTTGTCACAAATTATAGAGTATGATAGTTGTGTATAAATTCGGTGCTCAAGTTGTATACCTTCTGTAAGATTACAACAGAATCTATTCATGCCACTAGGAACAGATTGCTATGTCACTGATACATACCTGCGTAGTTCCATGACCAAATGGAGTGCTGGATAGATTTGTAGCAATACTATGCAGGATAATTTCACCACTCATGGATCCTGAGGCAACATAGCAATCATTCCAATTGAATGACACACAAGTTATTTCCTCTCTATGATCCTGAAGAAGAAAATATGCAAGCTTTAATTTAGTACAACTCTCATGTGCTCTAAGGAAATTTTGAGATTACAATCCTTTTGTGTCCAATATTGATGAAAATCAATGACACAATTTCTCTGATCCTGAAGGAAATACATTAAACAGTTGTGCAAATTCTACAATAGGCTTAAAAGAGTTATTTTTAAACAACAACACACAATTAAAAGGTAGCCTTATCTTCCTAGTGCTATTCTTCAATTCTCTGGATCTCTCGGATCTCTCTGGATCTTCTCGAAAAAATATTATGTGCAGCCTTCAGTCTCTAAAAGATTGCCTACTCCACCTCTCTGGAATAGTAACACTCATATTATAGCTTGCATTTTCAACCAATATATTTGTATGTATTTTCTCTCAGAAATGTTTAGATAGCAAATTCTGGTTCAAATATCTAATTTTTCCTTTCTTCAAAAAATGAATCTCAGCAGGAATAAGTGTTGTCCAATGCTTTCTGAGCTGGGATAAGGAATTTTGCCAAAGCTATAATTCAAAGGAAATCTCCAATCAGGTCCCCCGATTGCTCATATGCCCTCCTCCTCTAATCAGAATACCCTGGATTCTTCCATGCTTTTCCCTTTCTTTCACTAAGAAAGATGCAAATCAGGTGCAAACAGACCCTAAAGAGGAACAACTTCAATCAAGTACTATGTTCTCTGCAGGAAGATAGAGACAGAAACTTTCCTCTCTACTTAGGGAAGGATCCAGTTCTGGCATTCAAACTTCCAGATCATTTTTCCTATAAAGTTTTTTCATATTGTATCTAATTGTACATCCTCATATGTACAATCACTGCACAGTACTGAAAACATACAACCATACAAAACATACCAAGTGAATTATATTTAATTGTTATCCCACCACTGATCCTTCTTCATTCTGACAGGCGCTCTTATTAGAAGTACGTGACAATTTCTAATAACTCTCTCTTCTCTGTAACTCCAGATGCCACCCAAATGATTCTGAAGACTTTATATCTTTGAAGAAGGACAGGGATGACACACAGAGATAAAGGAAAACTTCCCATAATCACTGGTTAAGATAATATCACTCTTCTCTACTGTGACAAACAGTTGAATAGCCCTGCCTTCAGAGAGCATAGTAACTTGTTCAGCCTTTCCTCCTTACTTATATTTTAGTTTGATTTGAAATATTTGTTTCCCCTGCCAATTAAAATATAGCTATTTTATATTGGTTTTGGTTTAACTGTAATATCTCCAGGGAATTTTTTTGAATTGTAAAGCACTGTATTCAAATGTCTGATAAACACCTGGAATAGTTTGCATTCTGATACAGAATAATCCTTAAACAGTGCAATACAGTGCAATACAGTACACACCGATATGCATCCATAACCAAGACATCCTAGATCTGAATGAATGAAACATTCTTATTAAATACTTTGTTCATTACATAGTTAAATGTGCTGACAACAAAATCACACAAAAATTATCAATGGAAATCAAATTTTGCAACCCATGGAGGTCTGGATTTGGAGTTACATTCAAAATTAAAGTGGGAAAAAAACACTACAGGCTGATCCAACTTTGATGTAATGTCCTTAAAACAAGTCAAAATGAGGCTCAGTAGTGTGTGTGGCCTCCACATGCCTGCATGACCTCCCTACAATGCCTGGGCATGCTCCTGATGGGGTGGCAGATGGTCTCCTGAGGATCTCCTCCCACACCTGGACTAAAGTATCCCCCAACTCCTGGACAGTCTGTAGTGCAATGTGGCGTTGGTGGATAGAGCGAGACATGATGTCCCAGATGTGCTCAATTGGATTCAGGTCTAGGGAACAGGCGGGCCAGTCCATAGCATCAATGCCTTCGTCTTGCAGGAACTGCTGACACACTCCAGCCACATGGGGTCTAGCATTGTGTTGCATTAGGAGGAACCCAGGGCCAACTGCACCAGCATATGGTCTCACAAGGGGTCTAAGGATCTCATCTCGGTACCTAATGGCAGTCAGGCTACCTCTGGCAAGCACATGGAGGACTGCGCGGCCCCCTAAAGAAATGCCACCCCACACTATTACTGACCCACTGCCAAACCGGTCATGCTGGAGGATATTGCAGGCAGCAGAACATTCTCCACGGCGTCTACAGACCCTGTCACGTCTGTCACATGTGCTCAGTGTGAACCTGCTTTCATCTGTGAAGAACACAGGGCACCAGTGGCGAATTTGCCAATCTTGGTGTTCTCTGGAAAATGCCAAACGTCCTGCACGGTGTTGGGCTGTAAGCGCAACCCCCACCTGTGGACGTCGGGCCCTCATACCACCGTCATGGAGTCTGTTTCTGACCGTTTGAGCAGCCACATGCACATTTGTGGCCCGCTGGAGGTCATTTTGCAGGGCTCTGGCAGTGCTCCTCCTGTCCCTCCTTGCACAAAGGCAGAGGTCGCGGTCCTGATGTTGGGTTGTTGCCCTCCTACGGCTTCCTCCACGTCTCCTGATGTACTGGCCTGTCTCCTGGTAGCGCCTCCATGCTCTGGACACTACGCTGACAGACACAGCAAACCTTCTTGCCGCAGCTCGCATTGATGTGCCATCCTGGATGAGCTGCACTACCTGAGCCACTTGTGTGGGTTGTAGACTCCGTCTCATGCTACCACTACAGTGAAAGCACTGCCAGAATTCAAAAGTGACCAAACCATCAGCCAGAAAGCATAGAAACTGAGAAGTGGTCTGTGGTCACCACCTGCAGAACCACTCCTTTATTGGGGATGTCTTCCTAACTGCCTCTGCTTTCCACCTGTTGTCTATTCCATTTGCACAACAGCATGTGAAATTGATTGTCAATCAGTGTTGCTACCCAAGTGGACAGTTTGATTTCACAGAAGTGTGATTGACTTGGAGTTACATTGCGTTGTTTAAGTGTTCCCTTTATTTTTTTGAGCAGTGTATTTTAATTAAACCACTTGGAACACTTTATAAATATACATAAATAATGAAATAGCTTACACTCAATAGTCCTCAACTTACAACCACAATTGAGCCCAACGTTCATGTTGCTAAGTGTTGTGATTCGCCGGCAGCCTGTGTAGACAGCAGCGGAATCGGACAGTGTGCTTAATTATGGTCTCGAGAAGCCTTGGTCAGAACACTGTGAGAATTGTGTTATGTGAGTTTTGCCCCATTTTACATCTTTTCTTGCCACATTTGTTAAATGAATCACTGCAGTTGTTAAATTAATAACATGATTGTTAAGTTAATCTGGTTTCCTCATTGACATCGCTTGTCAGGAGGTCACAAAAATGTGATCATGTGACCCCGGGACAATGCAACCGTCATAAATGTGAGTCAGTTGTCAAGCATCCGAATGTAAATCACGTGACCATGGGGGTGCTGCAATAGTCATAAGTATAAAAATGGTCATGTCACTTTTTTCAGTGCTGTTGTGACTTTGAACTGTCACTAAATGAATTGTTGTAGGTCGAGGACTATCTGTATATCTGAGAAACGCTTTTTATTTGTTAGGGTTAAAATCTTTCAATGAGGCAATGTAAAATAGCACTCCCTCCTTTCATTTCTATCTGCATAATAACTGTGAGGAGTAGGCAACACTATGAGAGAGGTCACCTGATGAACTCTATGGCTGAGGATCAACTTGAATCTGGATCTCCATTCCATTCCAGTCTGAGTCCAACATCTTAAACAACACACTCTATTTCACTTCAATACACTATACCACATCACAACAATTATATTTATCTCACTCTATGATGTGAGAAATTTATTCAGGTAAAATAAGAGTATCAAAATCAATTAAAAGTATCAGATTTAGGTTTAAGAAAGTGGACAACCTTTCAATCTGCAATAACTACATATTACTTAATTGTACAGTCTGTCTAATATCTACCACCACTTCTAAATAGCTATTATTCTGCTAGCACAAAAACATTTATGAAATATAGGTATGAGTTATATTTTGATATTTAAAGATTGGAGTATAAACATAAAGATTTACAGGTGATATTAATCTCATATATTAACTGACAAAAAGAGTCTATAATACAATATTGTATCTTACCTTAAGAGATCGGTGAAGTTTTCTATATTTTAAATCCCAGATATTAACAGTGCCATCAATTCCTCCACTTGCAATATACATTGAATTCGAACTCAAGCTTATACATGTTTGCTTTGTCTAGTTGGCAACAAATTAAAAAAATAAACATCAAGATAATATCAACATCAATTTTAAACTAGGATAAAAAGTTAATACAATCTGAGGTACTAATATAGATCTGATTAAAATAAATGACATTTGTATTTTAATGAAATGAAAAAAACAGTGTTCAACAAATATGACAGACAAAATAAAATTACATCATTGTGATGGCTTATTCAATAGTTTGAATTTAATATACCAACACCATACCCCCAAATTAAAAATTAGCAGGGGCCAATAAAAGCCCATTTTGAGGTTTTTCCTTTAATATCAACTAATTAGTTTCATCAATTAGATTTATATCCTGCTTTTCCTCAATGAACTTATGGAACTATACACGGTATTTTTTCCTTCTATTTTCCCCTCACAACAACCCTGTGAAATAACCTGCCTGACAAAAAGTGACTGGTCCTAATCTATTTAGCAGGCTTCCATGATTGAGGCTGAACTTAGTCCAACACCTTAACCATTCTACTACTTTTAGCAGCAGAAAGATTAAAAATGAATTATAGTAATTATCTGCTCTTTCAACAACGTACTATGTGATTGATTAGTAATAATTGTTCAGGGTGCTTTTTAAAATAGAAAAGAGGGATCAAAATGTTTTAATTAAATAAATGAAAATGGATGTCTGAAATAAAAATCACAGAACTAATAAATAACAGTGTGTCTACTAAAATGTATATTGAGTGGTCCATGAACAGTGTAATTTATATTGCTGAATAATCATCCATTCCCTTTCATTGCTTTTCCCTGCAGCCTTCAAACTGCAAAGAAGTTTGAAGCAAATTATACATTTCCTTTTGACAAATGAAACACTTCTGCATTTATAAAAACAGACACCACATAATTGTATACAAGGCTGGAAACAAATCATTTTCAAATCATTAATATCTGTAAGTAGGTGACTAGAGTCATAATACAGCAACACCAAGCCAGTGTTAGCCAATCACTAAAAAACTATGCAGGGTCAGATGTGGTTAGCGCTTAGATAAGAAGCAATCAGGAAATCTTAAGTTGTAGACTAGAAAATTATCTTCCTCCAGAATATTTTTTTCAATGAGAAGCAAGTTTCACAATGTTGTGTTAATAAAATCACATAACCAGGAGCTGGGCTTAATGGCTTTCTATAGAACTTAAGCCATTGTGGATGTAACATAAAAGGCATTGTTTTGGGAATACCATTGGCAAAAGACCATTCATTCTGAAATGTGTATTGGTTCTAGATACTATCAGAAAGATCTTAACAAGAACAGAGAATAAAATTTCATAATTAATAACAGCTTAATTTTTGAAGACAGCATTATTAATGTATTTCAGGATTATTTTAATGCCACAGGTAATAATAGTCAATAAAAACAGATATACTGTAGGTAATGGGAATTATGATTATATAATTTACTATAATTTATTATAATTACCATTATAAGAAACAGCAGAAAGTTCTAACTTCCAAAACAGCAGATATCAAGAAAACTTTTAGATAGATTGCAACTTTGTCTGATGTTCAATAAAAAAGTGATCACAAATCTTACATATGACTTGTTTTAAAAACGGTTGAGAACAGATTAGAAAGCAGATAGAATTGAAGAGCGTTTTAATCTCTACTAGTGCTCATTGAGTAGTGAATACTGTATTAAGGCACTTCCGGTTTGTCGGCTTCGCGAGCGGCAGGGATTTGCGAAGCTGCGCGATCCCTGCCGCGCTAGCCGTTTTTGGGGCTCCGATCCGGACGGGTACGGAGCTAGGCTGCCCTGCAGGGGCAGCTGAAGGTAGGGGGGATCCGGAGAGGGGTTTGGGGGTGTTGCAGACCCCCTCCCCGGCCGGAAGAACCCCCTTTTCCCAGGACAGTGCAGCGGCGGTCCGTAATGGCCGCCACAAAGAAGCTGGCAGCCGGGTAAGAATGCGCAGGAGGAAGTGGAGAAAGTTTTTCAAAGGAGAAAGTTTTTCTTGGTTCCTAGGACTCTAAGACATATTTAACAAAATTCCTGAAAAGTATGATTTTCTGAATGATACCTTCTAGAAGAGGAAAAAAGCGGCAGTTTGATGGTGCTGAAAGGAAAGCTTACCCTCTTTTCCTACGGAATAAATAAGTGGATATTAAGAAACCTATTTCTTTTAGGTGAAAACTGGTTTTAAGCGATGAGTGGGAAGAGAGAGGACTTAAAAAAAAATATTTGTATGCTAAGACTTTGTTGGAGGAGATGCCTTAAGGATTTGAAGACTAAAATATATTGCAATAAGATTTTAAGAAATAGATTTGGACTTTCTTTTTCTTTGATTAATACTACCCCAGGAGGAGAAAGTGAGAACTCTGCCTTGGTTTGGACTGATTGATAACTTTGGGATTGTTTTATTTTTTCTTTGGAATATTCTGGTTGTTGTAAGAAGAAAGAAGGGGAAAAGAAAAGATTTATAATGGCTCTTTCTATTGAGGAACTGAGAAAAGATTATGAACAAGCAAAAAAAAATGGTAAATCTGGTCTGAAAGAAGCCTTCCTTTTTTTAGAAATGGCGCTTATTAACTATCAACAAACATTACAACAGATGAAGACAGCAGAAGAAGAAGAAGGAGAGGAAGCCATCTTTAATAAATTTCAGAACTCGACCAAGAAAGAAGGAAGAGTGAAAGGAAGAGAAATAAAGGACTTAAGATTTAAAAAAACACTTAACAAAGGGAAAAATAAGGTGCAAAATCAATATAATGATAGTAAACAAAAGGGAAAAGGAATACGACAGAGAAGGGAAGCCAGTGGGGCAGAGGCTGGAAGAAGGGGGGGTAGAAAGGTTTGCTGGGAGAAGAAAGAAAGGGAAAAGGTGGAGAAAAGCTACAAAGTTTTGAAATTAAATGGGAAAAAAGGAATTTTTTTTAGGGATAAAGGATAAAATATAATTTTTTCAAAAAGATTTTGCAAGGTACATAAGATGATATTGTAGTATGGTATTAGAAATAGAAAACTTAAACGGTTTAAGAGTTGATAAGAGATTAAAATGTTGAAATGTTTAATAATGATTGGTTTTAAAATTTAATAATATGATGGGAGGTTTAGAATATTGAGTTTTAATTAAAGAGTTTAATAAGATTATGGTATTGATGTTATTATAAAATTTCTACTATAGTATTTGTTTTTAATATTTAGATTTATTGTTTAACTATATATTTAATTATTTTGGATGTACTATTTAGATAGAATGTACCAAGCAAAATCGGATTGGGTATTGGGCGTTATTTTAAAGGTTAATTTGATTAATTTAGGGGGGAGATAGAAAGGCATCATACTCTGATTAGTGATTTCAGGAGAAACTTCTTTTTTTTTTTATAAGGAACGAGACAAAGGGACAATAAAGAATGGACAAAAGATACAAATATAATGACTCAAATTAAGATGATTAATTAAGATAGAATTAAGAAGAGTGAAATATGTGGAGAAGTTAATATAGAAAACTTAGAATGGTAAATAAAATAAGTAATGATATGTAAGATGAGCATGAATATAATTGAAGTCCATGAAGAGAGAGATACCTGGGTCCAAGTTACTTTCCAAAAAGATTTTTTTTTTATGTTTTATGTGTTGTGTGTATATGTTTTTTTTTTTTTTTTGGGAGAATTAATAAAACCTTGCAGAAATATAGAATGAGAATAATGGTAACTAAGTCAGAAAGAAATAGATGAAATAATAATAATGAAATTGAATAAGAGTAAAGAGAAGTAAAGAGAAATTGGACAAGAGGTTTTTTGTATGTTTATATGGAAATGGTTTAAAACAGAATTATAGTCTATAAAACAAGATTTTATCTGACTTGTTAAATTTATAATGGAAAAAGGTTTAAACATGTAATGGATAATGATTTGTGTGTTTTGAAAACTAATAAAACTTGTTTTTTTTAAAAAAATACTGTATTAAGAAACAGCAACAATTGCTTTCTGGATTGTTTACAATATTTCTTTGATTTGGATTATAGAGTACCAGATTTTGTTCTAGATCAATTCCTGTGAATTAGTTTTGCCGTTATTGTATTTTTACATACAAGTAGAAATCATATTTCCTGTTTTTCATTGGGAACATTCTGTGATTAGACCTGCAGGTCTTTTCCCCTTACTTTTTATTTTGGTGGAGAGGAGAGTGAATTATATTGTCTTACACATATATCTGCCTCATGTCTTTGAATTCTATTCACAAAAAAAGTGCCTGGAAGTGCAACAGTGGTACCTACTATATATGCACCCTTTAGAGAAGCCATATTTTTTCAGGTCCATCTACTTTCTATTATTGCTATATGATTTGGAAGGGAGGTGTTACTATAAAGAATTGCAATCAGATGCTATATTCATGACTTTGCATACTCTGAAGCATCTTTCTGGAACCAAATCCAAAACAGGATTATGAATTTATATAAATATCTAAATAAGTATTATGTATTTTTGAAGCACAGAACAGATATTAAGATAAAATTCATTTATTTGTAAATCTTATCAACTGAATCTAGAGGGTTTACTTCCAGGTTAGCAATGCGTAGATTATTAGGAATATTATGAATATTCCAGGGAATTTGAGAAGTTGAGTACATATAAATAGCAATGCACTAAAAGACCACCTTTAAAAAAGCTGTTCTACTTACCCCTTCAGCTAGTTCAAAGAGTGGAACTGGTTTTCCTTTACAATTTGAAACCACTATCTTATCACCAACAGCTGATGTTGTTACCAAAAAGTTATCTGAAATAAGAGTCATGGAACACAACATGTGCTTTTGTTTAGCAAAATTGTTTTAGTTGGGAAGAAAACCTTTTTCAAGTAGGCATTTAATCACATACATTTCACAATTGAGAGAACAATACATTTTCAAGAGTTACTTAAAAAAAGATACAATTTATTTTGACAATGACCAATAATCCCAATAATCAAAATGTTAGGCATCCATAAATTATCCATAGTAATCAATCACTCTGAGACAAGCATAATCTCCAATTGATTTATTAGGAACAGCTCTGGTACATCTATGGAAAATTTCCAAAACTGAAACTCATTCCCAGCGTGTCTCACAATTTCCACCCTATCTCCTCCCACTTACTATATTTCATCAATCACGAGAACCAATTAACTGCAGCTGGAATTTTTTAATGTGACATACTAAATAACCTTGAACTGTTCAACTCCCTCACCCCACCCACCCCTTTCATTGTTCACATTCTTGTGGCAGCTGATCTCAGAGCTGACACAATAGGTATCCTGGCCGTTCCAACACTGCTTCTCTCCAGTAGCTGCTTAAGGATGAATAGACCACAGTGATTACAGCACAGGTGGCTAGATTCTGTGCAACTAATGTAGCAAACTCTTCTACATTACTACTCTTTTGTATTTTAGTATTTAATGACTATGGACTTCACAGTTTAAGGATCAATATTATAATATAGTTAGTCCATGTGTAACTGACAGATTAGATGCCAAGTTGTGATTTTAATATAGATTTTATCTGTTATTTATTATTTTATTCTAGAATTTTTAACTGAATATTCCTTGAGTTGTTTTTATTTGTTCTGGTTTCTGGTCTTAGACTGTAATAAACTTGATTTGATTTGACAATGACAATGACCAGAAATTATGGAAAAATTATAAAAGGTTATAAAAATATTATATTTTTGAAAAAAAGTAACATATGTCATATTTTATCATTATTCAAGACTTGATAATTAACTGATGTGTACAATATTTTCGATACAATCCAATGAAACTATTTGTGTCTTTTTCTTACTATCATTCTCTCAGCTTTAGATTTGATTGAATTAGAAAGGTTTATAGCAGAATATTCTGAATACCTGTGGCTTATTTATAACCTGTTAGTAAAATAAGATTCAGGAACAGAACAATCCAAATATGGTATGGTTAAATTTTAAATTTAAAGAAGACAATTAACATACAACATGGAAATATCTATGGAAGGTAACTATCAAATTTACTGCAAATATCTGAAGAAAAGTGTACATGTCTGATGTTTTTATGGATAGGTTTAGCCAATGTTGATTGCCAAAACAGATAATTCATATAAAAAATTGTAGGAAATAGTTGGATCATTGGTGTGTGGGGGGGTTGTATTTGGTGGCAATATCACAAACTTCAACAATTCTAGAAGATGCTCCATTGTAAAAAACATAAATAAATAACAACTTTTTAAACAGCCCTTTTATGTTAAGTATTACTAAGTCTCATATTCCTACCAAGTATGTAGAATTGGCTCTGTATATGATAAAGGTCCTAGGATATTTTACTTTTTTGTTGGAAATGGTACATAATACCGTCCTTACAGCAATGGCAATATGCTTCAATGTGAAGAATAACTTTATATTTAAAAACCAATCTTATGCTTATTTAACCACAAAACCATTTATGGGTTATAATTCTGCACATGACTTTCATTAGATCTGAAGCTTGGGTTTATCCAAACATAAGGCTTTTTAAAATATTAGATTTTGCCTGCTTCACTGCAACACATTTTTTTCAGATTAGATAGAAACTCCAATTGTTTATTATGATTGATGATTCTTATTAGGTTAGTTGCCTTTGCTAATTACTGGCTTTGTTTTGATTTTAATAATGGTTTCAACATGTCAAATTGATATAAATCACTTTTACATGTGGCATTAATCTAATTCTCTCTCAAAAATTCTTAGTTTTTATACAGCTTTTAAATATCTTTTTCTTTTGTTTTGTTTTTTTGTTTATCTTGCTTGCATTTTCAGATATTTATAATGGGGGGGAAGCTGGGCAACAACTGAGATATGGAATTTCCTGTAGAAAGAATTTTGAATGGCCTTATCTGAGGTGTCATAAATAGACAATTAGGACAATTGCTATTAACAAGCATACTATACAGAAATACAGTTTCAGATACTGAAACAACAAAGGATACTGTTGCTACCCCAGCATACTGAATTAACTGGGTGAGAAGATGCATGGGGACTAAACTGGTCCACAACAGTTATAGAAGACGAATCCCATATTTTAACATCATCATCTCCTGAAGAAGCAAAACGGATGCCTTCCTGCATCTCTACACCTGTAAAGGAAAATTAAAGTTATTACAAATATATTTTCCTTAAATATTATTCTATCTGACAAATCAAAAAAATGTGGTTTGTTGTACTTGAGAGAACAATAAAGGTATAAGGTATAAATAAGATTAATACAAGCTGTGGCAAAAACTTATTGCCAGATATTATCAACAGACATGTTTTTTATTGCTACAGTATAGTGGGGCACATACAATTATATACAAGTACCATAAACCTAATCATCGTCTCAGATTAACAAACCCAAACATAAATTCTTGTCATTAATAACAGCAAGATGATGTCAAATATTCAACAAAAATATTTATGTTACATTCCAATGCTTCCAAAATGTAATTTCTAAAAACAGTTAATTGGAAAAAATTGAGTAAAAAATCTTTGAACTAGAGCCAAATTTGATAACTTATGAGTTGCTAAATCTGTCTATAAACACTACTTTTCCAACCTAATAAATTGTGGGGCATCAAGTATTTCAGGAAAGAAATACTACCAAACAGTTATTAGCTTCTGAGTGGTCTTCAGGGACAGCCTTGTGCAGGATATGTTGTAGTAATCCAAGCAAACTCATATGACGTGCATGAGTTAATGCATGAGTTAGAAAGAGTAACTCATCCCAGGTTGAAGTGCAGCTGGTGCACCAAAGAGAGCTGGCAAAGGGCATCTGGCCATGGCCTTAATTTGCACTATCTATGAGCTCATAATGATCCCAAATCCCTGACCTGCACTTATAGGAAGAGTCCCTTCTCTTTAAGTCCTTTTAATGGGAAATATGTCTGTGCGTTAATCAAGACCAAGTCGAAAACGTTGTCAGTGCTGTTTCACTTGAATTATTTTTCTATATAATGCTATTGACAAAAGAAATTCAAAAACATTGGACTATATCGAGAGAGTGAGAGAGAAAGAGAGAGACAGAGACAGAGAACCTGTTTAATGTGTTCTGAGTTTGAATCCTCTCTATTTTGGCTGGACTTTCAAGCAACTTGCCAAGCAATTCTCATTTTTAAGAAGTGTCTCACCCCACCCCCTAAGTTTTTTAAATACAATCTATATGAGATTTCGTCAAGTCAGGGTGCATTAAAAAAAAAATCAGCCTTGATACATTTGCCCACATTTTTTCCTTCAAAAATTCTCTAGGAGTTTTGGGAGTCAACAGTGCAAGCAAGCAGCACAGTTTTGGAAGGCTTTGGGGAATGAATGGTCATAAATTGTGCAAACTGTATTACAATAGAATTTTGTATTAATTCTTATTTTAGATTTTTACTATGGTTTTGCTTTTATGGAAATAAACTGCCAATTTGGTTTTGACACTGCACAAACACAGTAAACAAATAGTTGATAATCTACTTTAAATTTTGTCATGGCCCCATCAGAGCCCAGTTCGGAAGACGACGAGGAGCTAGAACTGGGACCATCCGACAGGGAAGGCACGTCTCCCTTGGCATGTTGGGAGAGGCCAGGTGCTGAGGACGAGGCTATCTCAGGCCCCCTCAGGCATTGGGGGAAGTTGGTTGACCAGACGGAGAGCTGCCTGCCTTCACAGATACAGGGGAGGATTGGCTGCTGACAGGCAGTGGGGCTGATAGGCAGCAGATCTCCTCTGATGAGGAACAGCTGTCTCCTCCACTCAATCCAAGGGCATGCAGAGTGGAGCATAGGCAAACTCAGAGAAGGGCTGCATGGCTACTTGGGAGAAGATTTCTCACCCCCCCCTCATAAGGAGGGACATGGCTTAAGAAGACGACATGGGGAGTTAGTCTTTGCCGGCAACAACTTTTTTGCTTTGACTTACACTCCCCTGCTTTGAGTCAAGCCTGTTGCCGTTGGCCTTGCCTTGTTTGGAAGATTGCTTCTTGCCTTTTGTCTTGGACCTTGCCCTTATTTTATGGACTGATTTTGGTCCTTTGCTTTGCTGTGCCTTTGGAATTGCTCCCTACCTTGGACTTTTTCTTTGTCCTGAGGACTACCATTGTCTTGTGCCTGGACTCTGCCTGGACTGGACTTGGAATCCTGGATCTTGCCCTGTGAGCATGCTCCTACTCTGTGGACTTCATTTGTGCTATAGGGGCTATTGTTTGGGGGACTGAGGGTGGCTGCCTTCAAGATGGCATGGGAGTGGAGCCTTACCATTGGAGGACCATTTGCAGGAACATTTATTGAGAGATAAAATACTCTCTTGAGAGGCCTGCCTTGCCTTGATCATCTGGGTCATAACAAATTTAGACTCAAACACTATACAGTCCATAAACCTAGTTCAAAAGAATACTACAGTGGCAAGGCCATGATGTTATTACAGTAGACTATGCAATCAAAAACAATCATAACAATTAGAAGTTCGAGCAACAAAAAAGGTGCTAGGCAGATTTATTTTATTTTATGCCACCTGGTTCCAAACAACTCTGGTGGCTCACAATACAGGCAATATAATTAAAAAGAACAAAGCTAAACTAAACATAAGAAAAAGAACAAGTAAACCCTGCAGAACCCCCCAACATCCCAACAATATCTAACATCCAGCAGAGAATTCCAGACATCCTAGGCCAGTGATGGCCCCCGCATATGTGCCTCGCCCCGCACATTCATGCACACCCGTGTGCATCCCACCCCTCACGCATGCACATAACCCCCATGCACGACCTGCCCCTGCACATGCATAGCAGAGACCCTAAGACCAGCTGGCTGGTGGGAGGCTCACGCACACATTTGTGGCAGAGCTGAGCTGGGGTGACAGCTCGCGTGTCCAGAGAGAGGATTCTGTGTGCCACGTCTGGCACACATGCCATAGGTTTGCTATCATAGGTCCTAGGCCAAGGGATGACAAAACAGCCAGATCTTTAAGGTCCTCTAGAACCCTAACAGCCTGGGACTCACGTAGGTTTCAGGGAAATCTCATTCTAGAAGGGACAATGACAGAGAAGTTATATTTCCTGGGTCTTGATAGATGGCATTATTTAATCAAGTGCTCCTGAAGGACACAAACCCCATAAGCTCAAATCAGTCACACACACACAGACACACACACACACAAAACAGGCAATCCCTCAAATAACCAGGCCATATGCCACATAGGGTTTTATAAGTCATAACCTGCACCTTGAAAATCATACTTGCAAGGAATCAGGCAACCAGTGCAGCTCATGGAACAGAGGCATCATATGTGCACACACATATTGCTGCATTCTAGACCAGCTGAAGCTTCAGAATGGTCTTAAAGCACAGTTCCGTGTACAGCATGTTGCAATAATTGAGCTATAAGGATTCCCAATCCTGGAAGAAGCATAGTTAGCACACCAGATAATACCAGAAGCACAACTTAACACACCAGATGAATCCTGGAAGAAGCACAATCCCAAAAGAAACATAACTAGCACACCAGATAAATCTTTGCAAAGGAACTTCCTGACCAATCCCCTGCTAACCAATCTGGAACTGAATCCAGGAAGAATTTCAGATTGCCACCATGCTTTAACGAGGAAGTGTATCATCATCCAAGGTCAAAAATAGAAAAATCCTGGAAGCAGATGGTTCCAATACCCACAACCACTTGGGTCTTGATAGAACTGAGTCAGAGTTGGTTCTTCTCCACCTAGGATTAAATGGTATAGCAGCACAATTGAAATATAATATTCCATACTTAGTAAAAAATATGTGCTATACAGATTTGGTAATTTCTGAAGAATGCAAAAAGGTCAAGTGATAAAAGATATAACTTGAATAATTGCCTACACAGTGACTTATAGTTTTGCATAAAAATGTTAATTCCTGCTTTAGACTGCACAATAAAAACACTGTGTGTGTGTGTGTGTGTGTGTGTGTGTGTGTGTGTGTATCTTTGGTTATTCGGGTTTTCTCCCGCGTAAGGTTGGAAGTATCTAGGCAACGTTTCGATGAAGTCTCATTCATCATCTTCAGGCTTCTGTCTTCAGCTCTGTGCTTCTCAGAGTGATGTGAGCTTGCAGCTGCTTCTTCCTTTTAACTGCTAGTGGAGGTGTGACTTGATTGGGTGGGGGCTTGGCTGTGTTCTGATTGGGTGGGGGTGTGTTCTCATTGGTTGGGGGTTTGGCTGTGTTCTGATTGGTTGGGGGGTTGGCCATGTTCTGATTGGCTGGAGGTGTGTTCTGTTCAGGTGGGGGCTTGGTTGTGCTCAGGTTGGTCTTAGTTACTGGGGGATTTGAGCTGGTGAGCTGTGATCTTGCTGTTTGGCTTCGAGTTCGTGGTCGTGCTGCATCTTCATGGTGGGGGTCAGTTCGCTTCATGTATGGCTCAGAGGGGTTTGAAGTGGGTAGTGATGCAGCTGCAGTGCGGCTTCTGGTCTGTGGTCATGTCTCATCTTCTGTGTGGGTGTGAGTCTGCTTTTTACGTGGAAGTGTGGTGGTGGCATCTTGTGTGGCCCTCATGGGTGTGGGTCTGGTGTCATTCATCATGTTAGGTACTCATCTGTTCATGAGGGCGGGTTTCCAAATGGCTGGTAAGCGGGAGGTGTCATCTCTTTTATTCATGCTGTGTGGGCGTTTTTCTATCTCTATGGCTTCTCTGATTATTCTGTTGTTGAAGTGTTCGGTTTTGGCGATAGTTCTGGTATTTTTAAAGTCAATCTCATGTCCTGTGGCTTTGAGGTGTTGGACCAGGGAAGAGGTCGGTTCTTCTTTTTTGATTGAGTTCTTATGTTCTTCAACGCGTGCACTTATTCTTCTGTTAGTTTGTCCAATGTATGTGGTGGGGCAGGCGGTGCAAGGGATTTCGTATACTCCTTGGTTTTCTAACTCGATTTTGTCTTTAGGGTTTCTTAGGATGGTGGATCTTTTCCCCATGGAAAAGAAAACCTAAACAATTTCCTAACACACCTAAACAGCACACACCCCAAAATCAAGTTCACCATGGAAACGGAAACAAACAAACAACTACCATTCCTAGATGTACTAATCTACAAAAAAACAGATGGCACACTAGGACACACCATATACCAGAAGAAAACACACACCAACCGCTACCTCAACGCCCAATCCCACCACCACCCAGCACAGATAAACTCCGTGGCCAAAACACTAATCGCCAGAACCAAACGCCTGGCAGACATTAAGACTGAACTATGCACCCTGACTAAAGTACTGACAGCCAACGGCTTCCACAAAAACAAAATCACCAGCTTGATCCACAAAAACACACTGAAACATAATAGAGACCCAGAAGATGAACAGACCTATGGAACAGCTGTCCTGCCCTACATAAGAGGTACTACAGACAAAATTAGTAAGGTACTACACAGACATCACATCAAGACTGCCTTCAAAACAGACAGAAAAATAGCAGCCATCCTTAGCAACCCCAAAGATAAAATTGACCTGGAAAACCAAGGCATATACGAAGTCCCCTGTGCATCATGCCCAGCCACATACATTGGACAGACCAATAGAAGAATAAGTACCCGCCTGGATGAACACAAAAATGCAGTCAAAAAGCTGGAACACACTTCCTCACTAGTCCAACACATGGAAGCCACAGGTCATAGCATCAACTTCAATGGCACCGAAACCCTAGCCACTATAGAAAACCCTAGCCACAGAATCATCAGAGAAGCCATAGAGATTGAAAAAAGACCAGAAAGCATGAATAGAAGAGATGATTCCACCAGGCTGTCAATCATTTGGAAGCCTGCACTCACAAACAAAAAAATCTCCACACAAGCCAGGCAAACACCTGGGCACAAACAGATCCCCCCTGATACCTCCAGCTCAAACACATCCCAACCAGGCACCCAGATGAAACCCAGCTTCCTAACTAATGATAGCCGTCCATTTACCCGAAGCCAAGCTGCACTAAAGGCCTCCAATAAAGTAACACAATGCTGCCAGCCAATCAAGATACAAAAAGAGCCAAAAAACAGACAGAAGATATTAGAGACACCAATCAAGCAGAACACAGCAAACTCCGAGACCAATAAACACAGACCAAGACTCCCAACCAATCAGGATGAAGAAAAAAACCATTCTGGCACAGCAATAGGCTGCCCCAAATTTAAATCTGAAACCACTGTAAAAGTCTGATTCACAGACGGACACAATACAGAAGCCTGATGATGGCAGATGAGATTCTGCTGAAACGTTGCTACAACTTTAAAAGAACAACTACAATGACGTGGGAAAATACCCGAAGAAAGCCGAAGGCCATACATGTAAGTAAATACTATTATGGTCAATCAATACAATAACTTTGCATTTGCAGTAGGGGGGAATCAGAATATTAGTTTCACAATTTATGTAAACAATGATCTCTGCGCACAACTGTTCCAGGATCTGGCAAACAATGAAGGTACATACTTAGGAGCCAGCACAGAGAGGGAATGTGGCTTCAGCTGATATATGTTGATGAATTATCAGTTTCATAGAGAATTAATAGACTTGAACAGTTCATTCTGCAGGGGGAAATTCCAAAGATCACAGAGAAAAATAAGGAATGTTACACTTTTCTCTCTCTTTGACCCATTAAATAGACTGCATCAGTAGACCAAACTGCATTCTAGACTCTGAGTACCTTATTTAACCCTCATGTACATTCCATAAAATGTTGCAAAATTACGCTCACCACAAATTAATATGTTTCAAATTCCATACACTGTTTACATTTCCCACACAGCGCATATATTTGAACTCCGTGTCAAAAAAAAAAAAGTACACAAGACATTTGTTGCTCCCGGAGCTTTCCAACAACCGGTGGAAGCCTTTCATTGTAACTGCCTGCCTACCTACCCGTCAGGTGAACCAATTCACCCAATTCTTCAATGGAAGCCCTCCTATATAAGAAACGCGAGGAAGCCATAGCCAGACTCGGCGTTGAACTCGCATTTCTAAAGATAGACCTTCCTAGTGAACTTAACCAACTTAGTTTAGACACACAAAGAACTGCGGAGAAAGGAGCGTTTCGGGGCTTTATCTGGGGCGCGGGAGAAACAGCGGAGGATACTTTCGCTCCAGCGGGGGAGGCGGAGGGTTACTATTTCACACCTAAAGCTGCCTCCCGTTCGAGGAAGCTAAGGGGCCAATCCTGCCCGGTCAGGGTCCGTTGTGCCACTACAGAGACCGCGAAGAGCCAGAGCCAAAATTGAGGGAGGGACCATAGACGACCAGCCAGCTCCAGGACGAAGCAGAGGGCGTGCCGGGTCTCCCAACCGATTCCGACTACGAGAGATTTCGCTTCGTCCTCACCTTCCCGCTTCTCCGGGACACCCCGGATAACAGTCTTTTTAGCCAGTCCGGATCATTATTATTTTTTTCTTCCCACCATCCAGCGTGGTCTTTCCACAATCCAAGACAACCAGCGCGCTCGACGCCTTCCCCCACCCTCCCCGAGGACCAAAGCGCCCGGAGCCGACTTTCCTCCGCTTCTTACAACTTAGCAGACTGTCCCAACAGCCACCGCGAGAGCCCGCTACCCACCCTTTTACGGCAGCCGAGAAAGAACAAAATTAGCGAAGTGCGCTCGGGTGCCGTAAATAGGAACGGAGGGAGGGAGGAGGAGGCGAGGCTTAGCCTGAAAAAGGGCTCTTCCCGGTAGGTGCGTCTCTTTGCCAAGAGCCGGTTCTTTGCTAAATGGGGCGAGCGAGTAGAAAGGATCTTGGCAGAACTTTTTTTATGGCGCGGGGTTCGTCTCTCCTATTTTGCAAATGTTTACTGTAATCTGACACTGCACTCCGAAGAAAGCAGAGCCGCCCGGGAGGAGAAGAGGAATGAGGGAAGAATTCGGGAGCATCCGAAAAACTAATGGATCGTGGCATAAATGTTTGAGGAACTAGAGTTCCTTTCATCATATGCGCGAATCATTTGTCTGTGATAAAGGCTGGGCATTCATACGTAACTTCCAGCAGGTTTTCATTGTCGTTTATTTATTTATTTATTTTTATTTGGTTTGTCAATTGCTTACAAGATAATAGGTATAAGTAAAAACATAGTTATGAATACATGGATACATATAAGAAAAATAAAAAAATAAAAGAAACAATAGGACAGAGAGTTGGTGCACTTAGGCACGCCCCCTACAGACCTCTTAGGAAAGGGGTAAGGTCAATAGTAGACTGTCTAAGGTTAAAGTTGTTGGGGTTTGGGGAAGAAACCACAAGAGTCAGGTAGAGCAGGGGTCCCCAACCACCGGTCCGCGGACCGGTTCCGGTCCGCGGAACAAGTCCTACCGGGCCGCTGGCTTGCTGGGCGCCGCCATCTTTTTTTGATGAAAAAGTGCTTCCGGTGAGCTTTTCCGGGTAGAAAGCTCACCGGAAGCACGTTTTCATCAAAAAAAGATGGCGGCGCCCAGCTGATGCCGGTACCGGGCCGCGGTGCCCAGCTGATGCCGGTACCGGGCCGCGGTGTAAAAAAGGTTGGGGATCACTGAGGTAGAATATTCCAGACATTGACCACTCTGTTGCTGAAGTCGTATTTCCTACAATCAAGTTTGGTGCGATTAACGTTTGTATCTATTGTTTGCTCTGGTGTTGTTATGGTTGAAACTGAAGTATTCATTGACAGGTAGGACATTGCAATGTATGATTTTATATACTATACTTAGATCGGACCAAAGGCAGCATCGTTCTAGTTTTCTAGGTCTACAATTTCAAGTCTGGTGGCATAAGGTATTCTGCAACGAGTAGAGGAGTGGAGAACTCTTCTTGTGAAATATTTCTGTACTTTCTCAACTGTGTTAATATCAGATACGTAATGTGGGTTCCAGACTGATGAGCTGTATTCTCCTTTTCGTTTGATCGAGTATTGGAAACAGAGGACAACTCTGTGTACAGCTAGTGAACTCTCATTCACAAAATATGATGTGTTGTAATCAGTGGTGTATTAACCATTAAGCAGACTTATTGCTTAGGGCACCAGGCCCAAAGGGGACACCACACAGTTGAGAATATGGCTTCGTTTGTACAGTATGTATAAAGAAGGGGAGCACCAAGATTTGTCAGTGCTTAGGGCACCAGTGAGCCTTAATCCGCCACTGGTTGTAATTTTTAAGGAGCCAGAGATTGGCTTTGTTTACATTTCTTTGGCTCCTCAGGCCCTGGTCATCTTTGATTCTGGATGGGATTGACTTTCCCATACCTGGCTGGTGCACTATTTGGCTCTCTTCAGTGGCTCTTGTTAGGAATGTAAGTCACCTAATAGTTGGGTTGGAAAATATATAAACCAGGACAGACATTTTAATACTGTCTCTTTAAGAGAATGCTAAAATTGTAATTGGGTGTGGTTCCTCAAACTGCCATAAGATGGAGCCAGAAACCTGGGTTGTTTAGGTCCTGTTCTGTTCTGTTCTGTTCTGTTCTGGAGAGTGTTGCTGTCCCTATTGACTGTTATTCTTGGATTTGATGTCAGTCTGTTACTGAACTGTTCTTGATACTGGACTTTGTTATTGGATTATCCCTGGACTGAAAACTGACTGCTTTAATTGTGAATGACTTGGACTGCTTGTTTGAACTTTGCTTAACCGTTTTACTGGAAGTAAAAACCTACATTTTACTATACAGTGTATCTGTGTGCTAGTTGTGTATTATTCTTCACCACTCTCACTACGTCTCCCTGTGTACGCTCATTCTCCTAATGGGGAATTACCTCAACAGCTCTTACTCAAAAAGCAAGTGGCAGTTATGGCTTAGGGTGGTTCTTTGAAGATTCCCCATGTGTGCCAATTGGATCCTTTCAAGGTCATTCATGCCTTGGTTATTTCCTGCTTTGGTTTCTACAACATACTCCACATGAGACTGACCTTCAACATCACTCAGAAGTTACCACTGGTCCAGATTGTAGCAGCATGCAGTGGTGGGCACCCGTTATACCTGTAAAAGCACATGCTGCATTGACTTAACGGATAACATATAATCAGAGTTGCAAGGGACCTTGTAGGTCATCTAGTCCAACCCCCCGCCCAAGCGGGAGACCCTACACCATTTCTGACAAATGGCAGTTTCCTTCCAGGGGCAATTTAAAGGGGTGGGTATTAACTTTAAAGTCCTACATAGTATGAAACCAGTTGTTTGCAGGACTGCCTTTCCCTGAGGACATATGCTCAACTCACCACATTGGATAGAATAAGCATACTCCTGATCCCTTTTTGCCCTATGTTGTATCCCTTGAGGAATCCCCTACCCCTTTAACTTTCTTAAAAGCACTTAGACTTGACTTTTCCTTCAGTTGCCTAGTAAGGTGAGATAAGTGTGGGACAAACTTGTGGGCTGCATAGAAAATTTAACTGGGGTGTCAGATCTATTATTTATTTCATTGTTGACATATATCAATTTTATTTTGGAACTCTGAGCCACCCAGAGTTTGGCTTAATATAGATGACCATATAAAATTATTAAATAAATATTGCATTGTTTCATATTACTGAAGAGATGCTGACAAAGCTTCTTTAATGATGCAGATTTTCCTAAGGCTGAAAGCAGACCTGCTGTGTCCAGACAGCTGGTCATATGTTTCTCCCTACTCCCTCCCTTGAATTCTGTATGAGAAATTAGGCTCAATTTATTACTGAAATAAACTGGGGCTTCAATATCAAGCCTGAAAAATAGCAGGGATGGCAGCAAAAAAAATGTCTTTGGATAGGCTTGTTTGTTATTCAAAGAGAGAAGAACACTTTGATGTTTTTCAAGTTTTGCTCAAGTTTTTTTCTACTGTTTAGAGCAGGGATGTCAAACTCAAGGCCTGTGGGCCAAATCTGGCCTGTGGGGTGCTTAGATCTGGCCCATGGGGCCACCAGGGAAACAGCAAAGGACTGCCCCGTGGGGCCTCCGCCAACAAAAACGGAGCTGGGGGGGGCACACATAACCGTTCTAGGCTTCATTTTCTGCCACGACGGCTGCCTGAAGCCCTCTGCCAACCAAAATGGAGCTTGAGGAGGCCACGTGCAGCAGAAAACGAGGCCTAGGAGCCTGTTTTCACAGGCAGAGTGCTTGGGTCACCACAGGTGCCCCCAACATGAGTGATGTCATACTGGCCACACCCCCTGGCCACACTCACCCCAGCCCCCCAAGATCAAACACAACCTTGATGCGGCCTCAATGAAATCAAGTTTGACACTCCTGGTTTAGGGCAATGTAATTCCACATGCTGAATAACCTAAATAAACTTTTATTGAAGGCAAAATGGGGAAGGGGTTTTTATTTCTACTCTAGCACCTTGCAGAATGTAATAATTCATATTTATTGCATGGTGTTTTCATATATTCTTATATTCACAGTATTGGTAAAAATATAGTACGTCACAAAAATATGGTCATAATATATGCATAAATAAGAGTCCTTTTGCCAACATCATCTTTTTGCTTGAACAACAGATTATTTATTGGTGACTAATACTCATATTTAGTCTCTAGAGGTTAGAACAGTCACTAAGTGAAACAAGTATGGTTTACTGAAAAAAGATTCAAAATAGCTTAGAAAAATGACTTGTTTCTGCTATTTTTCAAAGACAAGATTAACTACACTTTATCCAAATGCATTCATGAAACTCAGAAAACAATAACCTGCTTCTGTCACTGTTTAGGGGTATGTCGTGTTTCGTATTCACTTCTGAATTGATGGTTGGCAAAGAATACAGCATCTTTGCAGTTCTTTAAAGAATGGCATATTTTTCCACAGTGAGATTATTATGTTGTATTATTGCCATATAATCCTAGACAAAAATTACCTTAAAAATCACAGTGCTTTATTTGCACACATAGTATTCTGAAACACATTTCTGGAATCTAAAGTGCTGCAATTCCAAATATATATCTCCCCCCCCACCCCACCCAGCTTTTTGCTTGGTATAAAAAACAACCAGAGAAAGGATGAGGGAATGTTATGCATTTTTTAACTGAGAGTAGTTTGAATAATTTGATTTTTATGCATCCTTTTTACTCAGGACAGTAGTTCAAAATAGTTCTGCTTCTTACTGAAACTTTGAAAACTAAGTTGATATATAAATGTTAATGTGGTATCATTTTAATTATTTGTTATTTTACACCTCTGCCAAGTGCATTAATAGGAATGTGATTTTATTCCTTTCTTCTTGTAGTCTGCAGATGCAAATATAAGGGCAAAGATCTTGTTGTTTACACTTGCTACAAGAGAAGAATGGAGATAATGTTTGTATTTCTAACTTGCAAAATAAATATTACAAAAAGTAACAAAAACTCCATAGACAAGATTAAGCAGGTGTCATTTCTACAGTATTTTGACATCCTAGTTCTAACAATATACAAATATATCTAGAAATACAAATAAAACATTCGATGAAAAGCTGCGAACACACTGATTGCTACTAGAAGTGGATGGGAGAATATCATATCTGGTGCTAAATAATTACTTTTAAACAGTTAAGGCAAATAGAAAAATATCTATACAGTTAACGAATGGTTTTCATTTAAGAATGCAACCAAAAGAACTGTGTAACTGGATTTATTTTCATTATTTTTGAAGAAAACAATGAAACTGAAACCATATTGAACCAAGATGTATAAAACCAAGCACCAAAAATAATATTTCTAAACCAAGAGCAACAGAAAATGCAAAAATCAATATGTTAATTATTTAAATTACTGCTTAAAGCATTTTATAAATCTAAAGATTTTTGTGAATCAGTTCTAGACTTCAAGTAACAGAGCTCCAGTTGTTTCAGAGTGATGGGATACTGATCCAAAAAGCTGTCAAATCAATCATTAAATGAAACATGTCAGTTTTACTCCTGAAAAAACATTCAAGCAAGCAGAGATACTATCCAGCTGAAAACGTTTCCTGCCATTATTACACATCCATTTGCTGGATCGAACAATTTGCTTAAATTTTTTATTGATGGTAGAGTGATCTCAAATGGGATCTGGAAAAAAGAGAGAATATGCTTGTGTTTGAATTAAGTTGTGGCTGATCATCTTAGCTAAAGATAGTCTTTGAGAGGAACATTTTTATTAGGAACAATTGTTTCTCGGCCTTTTGGTTAATATCACATATACTAACAAGATCTTAACTACAGAAAACTAGAAAAAAATTGCTCAATATACATACATGGCCAAAAATCAATCACTTTACATTAGCAGAAAGAGATCTACCTGTCACTGTAATTCCCCAAACTGAATTACACAGTACAATAATCCTTCAAAGTTACCATGACAGTTGGAACTAGCGCTTCTATCTCTGTGCAATTCAGTTCAATTCAATTCTATTGGTCATTAACCGAGGACTCACTCCGATCCAAGCCATTCCCATTTTGGTCCCTCCTAGACCTAAGGCTCGATAAGCATATGGTAAGGACTGGATTGCTTCCTCTGCCTCTCCTTCAATTCCCTCCTCTGCTTATCCCCCACCCATTGCTGTTCTTTTAGCCACCTCTGCTGCCAATTGCCCCTGTCCAGCTCTACTTGCCACTGCACCCTTCTTGCTGGGGGTCAAGTCCCACCTTAGCCATGAAAGCCTTAGAGGCACCACTATTGCAGCATGTCCTCTGTATGGATACCTTATGATCCAATCTTACAAATTTACATAAAAACAAACATTAAGCTACAAGTATGTATTGTACTTTACAAAAGAATACATAAAACTTTTTTTCTTTTTTTAGATCACCTGAGGGGGAACAAAACATTTTAATACATTAAAATGTTTAATTATTCACTAATGTTAATATAACACATGACAAACATGTACATATTGTATAATGTATTGTACATGTATTGTAACCTAAGAAAAGCTTATATTCCAGACAACAAAAATTATAATCACGCTAATACAAATAACTTCATATTCAGAATATAATAAAATATGCTTTCCAGAATACAATTAATAACAGAAATCTACTAGAAAAGAATTAGAATTGGGAAAATATATTTTTAAAAATCCAAATAATGTACCTCTTTAAGCGGTGAAGAGTGATCTGTGGTAATAGACAACAAGGCTTTTATTTCAGAAAAGCACACTTTAACCATTTCCTAAATAAATAATAAGAAAATAAGGGCTACTTTATTATATATTTTTAATTTCTCATATCATACTATCAACATGTTTGGCCAAAGTTAAAAATTATTTTCTTATAAACCAAAAAGGTGTTTTTTTTAAATTACCCATAGAAAATTTTAGCAGACCTATTCCAAGCAAAATAAAAATAAAATAGAAATCAGACGTTGCAAAAGTTTTTAGTTGAAAATTGTGTTCCTGATCATGAATTGTGGATGTGTAACATTTTTTTCTCTGAACTGAGATAACTGACATTACAATTCTCATTCACGTTTTACCAGTCATGATTTTTTTTTAAAAAAAGCATATGATTTTCTGCTTCAGTTGAAGAATTAGGTAAGCACATAAATAATGATCCCTTACAAAAAGAATGACTGACCTGGTATATTCAGCGACACATTGATACAATCTCTGGTATCAAAGACATCAGAGATTGTCTTTTTAATGTTTAATTAAAATGTATTATAAGATAAAATATAAATAGAAACAAAAATCAGAAAAGTTTAAAAATGAAGGAATTGTAGAGAAGAAATTTTTTAAAAGTACTGACTTCTGACTTTCAGTGCAGTAGAATGCAAAAAAGTTACAACTTCAATCTATTACTTTACATTTCTAAATATTTCAAACGTTTCTATAATAACAACGTTGTTCTAGTCACCAGATATTGAAAGTCTTTTATACAGTTTTCTATGTCTGCTATGTCAGTTTTCACTGTTGCGTCCATCTCCTTGGATTTTCTTTATTTCACTCCCTGAATGTGTTATTTTCCCCATATCACCTCCTGTTGCCATGAAATGTGCTGAGAAAAATGGCATACAGAGTATACCAGCTCTTCTGCAACATCCAAGTCTGTTATGTAAAAGGTTTTTGGAAATAAAATCTCAATATGGAAAGAATTTTATATATGTCTTCCCAGTTTGAATTACACGTCTTCCACTGAAACCAGCAGCAGGAGACACCAAATTATAATACAAAGAAAGTTTAAATCTACTATAGTACACTGAAAAGGAAGAGAGTTTATGCCTGTATATCTAGGTGAATATATGATATGTATGAGTGTATATCGTGATGTAAATACACATCAGCATGCCTGAATGCTGAATGCCTGAGTGCATGCAGCCATGATGACATAATATCCTCAGTAGCATAGATTTTGGTCATCCCTTCCCCTCCTCAAAGATAATACCAAATACTACCAATTTTAATATACTGAAATGAGTACAGTCTGATTTTACTATCAGTCTAGTGAGAATGAAAAACTAGGTTGCTTATTTTTTTTAATTTTTCCTATGCTATATTCTTCAATTATGCATCCATGACTACTTCATTAAAAGTTATTACCCCAAATTCCCTGATAATTATACGTTAGGTATAATTTCATTTTCTCTGATGAAAACAAGTAAGTAGATTGTTTTTAAGAAATCCATCTTGTATGAAATATAATGCATCTATAACTCTCAATCTCCATATATGCTTGCAATAATTTTACAAAATAAACTATTATATTTGTATTTAGTTTCTGAGTATCTAAATATAATATAGTAATAAGCCTTATGATTAAACAAAAAAAGCACACTAATCTCTTAGTCTTTCATTAACATTGAAAGAATAAGAAAAATACTAAGTTCATTAATTCAAACACAAACATATTCAAATCTGGCAGACTTGACTGCTAGGTTCTTAGTATAACCTTCATCTAAAATAAATCTACAGTACCAGAACAATAAAATATATATTACACATAGAAATGGAATTGTTCCTAAGACAGCTGCAAATTTGCAAATATAATGAAAAATCCATTTTCTAAGATTAGTCTTTGTACAATATTAATAGCTTCTATAGTTCAATGAAATGTGACAAACCAACCCAAATATTTGCAACCATATAATCATTTCAAAACCACATTATTTTTAGTGTCAAAATACCTGAATGTCAATTAAATTAACCTTGACAAAATAATTCTGCCATTTAAATTGATTATATTTATATTACCACCTGAAATATTTGTCATCCATTCAAAAACCAGTATTTTAATAATAAAATAGAAAACTGTTGTCTGGACTGTCATAGCACCCATCAGATGAAATGCCAACAAATGCCTCATTAATCATATCAGAGTAGATATTGAAGAAAGATTGTCACATGATAAATGTCTTCTCCTTTGAAAATAAATGTCTACTTTTCTTTAACATTCATCAGCCAGCAATTGGTCTGACAATACTTTGCAGATTATCAGTAAAAGATCTTGAAGAAATTTTCTAATTGACTGTGCTGATTTTGATCTTTTTTTAAAAAAAGAAATTCTAATTAGCTGTCAATAAAATGCCTACAAAGATGGTTATCACCCTCACTACAATTTCCTTCCCTTTCTTCAATCAATACCCATTTTTACTCAGCAGGAGAAGCAGTTTATAGCTGAATTATTAAACTGAACTTTAACCCAAGTGCTCCAATGCCTTTCCATTAAGATCAGGTGGTGTAAGAATGGTCCAGATTCACTCAATCAAACAATGTCATTCATCAGGATTTAGGAAATGTACCTGCTGCAATCACTTGCTCTCTGAAATTGTATCCTCTTGTACATCTATGTCTTTCACCTTACACCCATTCAAAAATTTCTGAAAACCTGGCTTTCCTCCTCAACATTGTGTTAAACTATTGTCTAGATATGTTCATTTTTTGTTCTGGTTTATTGAATTTGTCTTTTTCCAGAAACACAGATTCTTTTTCTTTTCTTTTTCATTTTATTGTTCCTACTTTTGAAATGTAAGCCACTCACAGTCATCTTGAGTCAAGCAGTCTCTAGATCCAATGGCATTCATGGACACATATAGAGAGAGAGACATTAATGGTGCTTGGTGAAAAACTGTAATCTGCTTTGAATAGGATTGTCCTTCCTTAAAAACTCTGGAATTAGTTAATACTCTTATGCTTAGATATACCAATGAGCAAGATGCTCCAATACTTTTTAGCATCTGAATGTATATATGAGTTTTCCCTTTCTTTAAGAATTAAAGATTCATGATTATCATCCCCAGCTTAGATTACTGTAATGTAATGGACATCTGCCTTCTAAAACGCTCCACAAAGTTCAGATAGACTAGAATGCAACCCATAACGTTTTCTTCATTACCAGGATATCTCACCACTGTTACCAATCCTGTTTAGAATACATCTCTCTAGAACTTCCTTTGCAAAGTAGTTGCTAGAAAACAGACAACATAACAGTGGCAGCCATCTGAAAATATAAAAAGATGGAACACTTGTCCATTTTACCCCTAGAAACTTGCCTGAAACATGACAATAGTTGCTTGACAAAAGCTGCAAGGATCTGAAACTATCAAAACTACAGATAAACACCATCTCAGCTTTGCTATGCAGAAGCAAGCTACCACAATTACAGCTATATTATTATAGTTTATGCTATATACCAGTGATGGCGAACCTATGGCACACATGCCGGAAGTGGCACGCAGAGCTATTTCTCCAGGCACGCGGAGCCATTGCCTGTTACTCTTCCAGGTTCCAGCACGCTAGCCAGCTGGATTTCACATGCGCATGCACACCAAAAACCAAAATTCTCCAGGAAAATGATCTTGTTTCCAACGTGCGCATGTGAGTCGGCCACTTGGTCTTCTGGTTTCTGGTGCTCATGCGGGTGCAAAGACCAGCAACGGGAAGAGTATCAGGTGCGCATGCCAGAAGACCAGGAGAGGGGCAGAGCTGTAGGCCAGGACAGGCGAGCTGGGACTTCCCTCCCTCTCCACTTGAGTGGGGTTCTTGCGCAGCTCCAGCCCATGGCGCATCCATGCTCCGGAGCACCTGGCTGGCTTGGGCACCCCAGAAGAGCTGGCTGCCCCCCGCACAGCCCCCCTTACCACCACTTTTACCAAGGAGGCACGACTGCTTCTGTCCCTAGTGTTCCTCTCACCTGGCTCAGCCCCTGCGCCTCCTCAGACGAGCAGCAGCCACTGCAGCTGCAAGGGAAAGGGCAGGAGTGACTGGCCAGCCACCACAGCCGCTCTCACACTGGCGAGCCAGGCCCTCATTCCTGGCCAGACATTCCTGCCCTCCCTTTGCGACTACGGAGGCTGCTCTTCTAGGGCGGTGCAGGAGCTGAGTTGGGTGGGAGAAACACTGGGGACAGAAGCGGTCATGCGTCCTTGGCAAATTGGGGGGGGCTGCATGGGAGGCAGCCAGCTCTTCTGGGGTGCCCAAGCCATCCAGAAGCATGGATGCGCCATGGGCTGGAACCGCACAAGAACCCCACTCATGCGGAGAGAGAGGGAAGCCATTCCTGCCCGTCCTGGCCCACAGCTCTGCTCCTTTCTGGGCTGTTGCACTGCCGCTTCCAGGCAGGATGCTGGAGGAGAAGCTGCTGGCAGGGAGCGAGCTGCCTGCATGGCTCGCCGGCATGGGGCAGTTGACCACCCAGCCAGCAAATGCTCATGGGAGAAACGCCAGGGTAAGAGGTGCGCTGGCCGGGAAGCAGTCACACTCCCTTGGCAGAAGTGGGGGGGGGGGTTCTGCTGGCTTGTTCTTGGTGGCGGGCTGGAGAGGGGCGCTTCATCCCAGCCAGTTGGGGTGAAGCTCTCCTACCTGCTGGCCCCCCAACCCAAGCCCCAGGAACACAGACACCCCTTCCCTTCAAGGCCAGGAAGGGGCTCCAGCTTTCCAGTGGAGGAAGGCGGCATTCTCCACCCAACTTTCCCTGTCCAGGGCTGTGGAACAGGGTCTTCGGTGGGGATGTCCCGCCATCCCGACAGGGACCAGGGTGGCAGGCAGGGAGGTGCAAGGACCCCCCAAAAGGCCAGGCAGAGCCAACACATACGCACCAATCAGCTGGTGTGCGCATGAGCACCAGAAACCGGAAGACCAGGCACACCAGAAACTGGAAGATCATGTGTTTTTTCGGTTTCCAGCATGTGGGGGGTGCCAAAAAGGTTAGCCAACACTGCTACTTACTAAACAGCATAGACAGTTCTCATTTACTGCCTGCTTCATTTAATAATTGTTTGAAATTCATGATGGTAAATTACTAGATCCTTACATGGTTATCATTTGCCTGCTCTCCAACTGGCTTGCAACAAGAAAAGTTTATGAAAAGTGTGTAAGTAAAAGCATAAGTTATGGTCATCTGATGACATGATTAGTGACTGTGGTGATTCACTTAATGATTCAATGTGAAGTTACATCATAAACCTGCCATGGACATGTGATTTTCCACTTAGTGACTGCAGTATTTACCAAGGGACTAATGTATATTGTTAATAGTAAGTGTAAGATTGCAAAAATGCTGACATGGCTGTAGGTTACACTGCCTTTGAAAAAGAAGAAATAGTACCTTTGCAGCCAAGTTAGTTATCCTCATAACAATTCCCCCAATAAATATAATATTCTGAAAATGGGCTAAATATCCCACAATGTTTGTGGAGATCTTTTAAGATGGCCTCAAACTTTTTAAAATATGTGAATTCAGCAATCTCTCACTCAAAGGTGCTTTTGAAATTGAGACAGTAAAATTATGATATTGTTAAAGCAGGGATTTGATTGATAAGGTACTATTATAGTTTGAGTCATATGTAACTTGCATTTGCGTAACAAAGCTGTGTTTCCCTCCCTTATCCACTCTCATCCCAATTTAAAACTTATATCAATCTAGCTGCTCTATGCATCTGATGGAGTTACAGATCATAAAAGGTGTACTTTAATAAAATGTTAGTGAGGAAGAACTTTGCAGAAATCATGTCAATTGTTCTTAAATAAGGCTTGTTCAATATTCAACAATAAAATCAGTATTTGTGGGGGAATCAAAATATAGCAGTAATTCTAAAAAAGCAGAATAATATAAACACTATAATACTACCGTGTTTCTCACAAAATAAGGCCGGGCCTTTTTTTTTTTTGACCCCTGAAAAAACAGCTAGACCATCTTTTCGGGGGTGACTTAATTTCCTCCCCCACCTAGAGCGGCCCATACGCATGTACCTCGCCGCGAAGCCGCTTCTATCGGCCGACAAAAGCTCCCCGAAGGCAGAGTCCCCAGCTGCTTCAGGGTGTGGCGTGGCTGCCCGTGTCCCCTTGCCTTTAGGCAGTCTCTTTCGGGCGATGGAAGCTCCCCAAATGCAGTCACCAGCCACTTTGATCGGCCGATGGAAGCGGCCTTGGGGTGAGCGCACACACACACTCCCCTTGCCGCGAGGCCGCTTCTACTGGCCGATCAAAGTGGCTGGTAACTGCATTTGGGGAGCTTCCATCGCCCGAAACTGCCTAATGGCGAGGGGACATGGGCAGCCACGCCTCACCCTGAAGCGGCTCGGGACTCTGCTTTCAAGGGAGCTTCTAGCGGCTATCAGGGTATTCTAGCCTGGGCTACCTGCAGGGCACTCCTAAAGGCAAGTTTTCTCCCCATACCTCCCGCCCTTCCCCGCCCATTTCTCTTCACCTCGTGTAGTTCTAACAAACGATGTGAGAAATGGCGAGGAAAAGCATGGTTTGCAACGGCCTAAATTTTGGAGGCAGGGCTTAATTTCACCTCATGCCTAGAAATCATGCTGGGCCTTCCTATTGGTGGAGGCCGTATTGTTGGAGAAACACGGTATTACCAATGTTACATAGATGTAAAATAAAATTTATCCCTTGAAAAGTAACATTAAAACACAGCATAAAATATGATGCTCCTGTTAGTATAAAAAGACATATAAAATTCCAAGCACACATTTCAAACACACTTTTAGTAGAAGAAATTCCTTACCCTTGAGTGAGTTACCCTGCTGCTTTTTTCATAAAACAGTCTTGCTTTAAAAAGAACATTCAAATCAAGAACAGTTCTAAGAATAAGAGCTCCTGTCTTTATATGTTGTATAGATAGATATCCGTGGTGTATTATTTCTGATAATAACAGATAATTGATTCTGATAATCATTTAGATACCTTGGTGTTTTTGTCCAATAGCACCTTTGCTGTATGAGTTCCAAGTCCTTTGGGAGGTAAACCTTTCTGTATTTCAATCAGTTCAGTCTGTTCAGTCATCTGTGACTGTATTAACATTTCAAGTTGTTGCTTCAAATCAGCCAATTTTTCACGTAGAGCAATAACTCTAAAAGAATATAATATGAATGCTATAAAATAGAATTATAGTAATATTGTACATGTATGAATAAGCTGTTACCTTGAATAATACGATTAAGACAGGAAGATTTTTATTGTAACTGCCATTTAAAGTAGGAGAGAAGACTTTTAAATATTACTTATGATAATACTTCTGCAAGAGAATTCAACATGGCTGCGACTTGATAGACATAGCATGAAAAGATTAATTACAAAGAATGATATGAAATGGAAATGCTAATATTCCAGAATATAAGAAGCAATTCATAGAAAAGTCAGTGGAGGAGGAAGAGGAAGAAGAAATTCAAGAGGAAATACTGTATGTGTAGGACAAGAAAATGGAGATGAAAAGCCATCATATAGAAGTCAGAATGATTGTAATCAGCTGGATGAGGAGAATGAAGCAAGGGACAGAAGCAGAAATGTGACATAACAGAACAGCAAAATATGTAGGCAAGGAAAGACGAATATCTCAAGTGAAGATATATTTCAGAACTATAGAAGAACCAGATTACTGGTTCTGGTGGAGACAGAGAAATTCCCAGATGACGGGCTCCAGCATGACCCAAATGCTTGGAAGAACAAATCTTTGCTCCAGTAATCGACTCAGATTGGATCTTGAACCAAATTACTGTTTACAAGTTGAACATAATGGAACCCAAAGCATATAAAGACTGCAGTAAACTATTTCTGCTATATATGCTGGAGTGTTCTAATAAGAACCTAATATGGACAGTACAGAGTTATCTCTATATAGGCAAGAACTGACAGTTTATCTCACAAAAACAACTTAAACAGAACTACATCGACAGGGCCAATTGTATCAAGCCTTTCCCAAATTGCTTCTTTCTTGTTTACATGTTAATTCTGTGGAAACATCTGCTTCATCTGTGTAACTGAAATCTATAACCAGTAGAAAAAACAACTTCCACTGTGCTAGTGTACCACATAAATACTACTTCATTTGATGGTTATCTAAAAGTTTCACATTCTCAAAGTTTTCATATTCTGCTTTTTCTCTAAATGTAAATTGGAAGCATCTATAGCACAAATTAGGAAAAATATACTAGAATTATTTGTATTATTATTGAGAGGTTTTCGTATGTATGTATGTATGTATCATATGTATGTATGTATGTATGTGTGTATGTATGCAGGTCTAGGTGTGTTCGGGTCTTTTCCCGTGTAAGATTAAGAGAATCTTGGCGATGTTTCAGCGAGGTCCCACTCGCCATCCTCAGGCTGGTGCTTTCGGCTGCTTGCACTGGCACGAAGCCGAAAGCACAAACGTCGCCAAGATACTCTTAATCTTACACGGGAAAAGACCCGAACACACCTAGACCTACATACCTGTAACCGTGAAAATCTACACACACACACACACACACATGTGTGTGTGTGTGTGTGTGTGTGTGTGTGTGTTTTCTTAAGTTTTCGCGGGTACTTACATGTATTCAGCTTTGTTCCGGTATTTTCCCACGTCATTATAGTTGTGCTTTTAAAGCACAACTATAATGATGTGGGATAATACCCGAACAAAGCTGAATACCATATATATATATGTAGTCTTAAATGTAAATTATGTTATCCTATCATTTTCTGACAACTTAGATTATGTTTAATATTAAAAATATGAGTATTTCAGATTTTTGGCTGGTAAATGATCCTGGTTTTATAGATGCTACCTGTACTTTCTCATTTCTTATTTGATAAATGTCATCTTCTGACATTTGATCTCCAGACTAATTTACTTATTCATTACTTCTAAATTCCCCAATGTAACACCACAGATGTTTCTTCAGTTTGCATTGGCTGGAATCCAAAAGCTAATGATTAGTATTCTGTAGATAAAGTACTTAATTCCCACTTTCCTCTCATACCACCCTTAAAGTCACCCTTGATTATCAGATAACAAGGTTTGGGGCACTGACAATGTAGCTGGAGGAGAAATAGAAATTATAACCTATAGATAATGTGTCACATATATGGTCCTGCTGTGCATAGGTTATTTGATTTTGTTACTGCTTTGAACATTGATAAATGGCTGTTTTGACTATGCTTGTTAACCTTGACCACAAAATATCAACAAGGCACACATTTTGTATGAAATAAAACATACAAGAAACAAAACAAATTAAATTACCTGTTCAGTGGAATCCACAAATAACCACAGTTTATGTAAGCTGAATTGAAAGAACTGATGTTGATAATTTTGATAGGTTTTATATTATAAGCAAAAATGAACAAAACCTGCACAAAGGAGAAATACTGGCTTAATATTATTGTTGAAATTGCATGTTTAATAATAATCACAACATGATCTATATATGTTACATTTTTGATCCATATATAGTAATATATTAATAATTAAAGGAAATGTGCATATAGCATAATGCTTATCTGATCGCCCATCCAACAGACAACCTCTACTGGATCATATGTCAATGATGTCAAATAGTCAACTACTCTCAGGTCTCTGACCCATTAATCCTAAAAGGATTCAGATGACACTTATGGCAACTGGAAAAGGCCTAAGATCCAAATCTCCTGGGAAACCCTGCTTGAATAGCTTATTTTTTTCTTAGTTGCTTGCTTGCTTGCTTGCTGCAATTTTTCTTTTAATCAATTTTACCTGTAATAGAAAAATAATGTGGAACATGCATCATGTACTGGGGACAATATAGGCATGTTGAATATATTTGTCACCTTGAGTTATTTACAAAGATAATAAATGTGGGATATAAACAAACAAATGTAGTAGATATGCACATCAGTCCTTTATAGTTAAAGCATAAAATTTGTTACCATACCATAGTCTCTTCTTCATTTGCTGATTTTTCCAAAGAGGGAAGGTACCACTGCACACAAAGTTCCTTCATGGGAGAACAGGTTGCTTTGTTGTCTGAATGCATGTCTATCTCAGAAGTAAAAGTACTGGAAATCATTTTCATAGATGGTGTTCTCTGTGAAATTCCACCTGATCCTAGACTTCCCTAAAAGTTATATAACCCTTTATAAGAATATTTGACTTCATGTTTAAAACTATAAATTTGCTACCTACCGTGTTTCTCCAACAATATGGCCTCCACCAATAGGAAGGCCCAGCATGATTTCTAGGCATGAGGTGAAATTAAGCCCCACCCCCAAAATGTAGGCCTATTTAAACCATGCGTTTTCCCGCCATTTCTCACATTGTTTGTTAGAACTACACGAGGTGAAGAGAAATGGGGGGGAAGGGCAGGGGGTATGGGGAGAAAACTTGCCTTTAGAAGTGCCCTGCAGGTAGCCTAGGCTAGAATACCCCGATAGCCGATACAAGCTCCCTGAAGGCAGAGTCCCCAGCTGCTTCAGGGCGTGGTGTGACTACCCGTGTCCCCTCGCCTTTAGACAGTCTCTTTCGGGCGATGGAAGCTCCCCAAATGCAGTCACCAGCCACTTCGATCAGCCGGTAGAAGCGGCCTCGGGGCGAGCGCACACACACACACTACCCTCTCCACAAGGCCGCTTCTATCGGCAGACGAAACCTCCTTTGAAGGCAGAGTCACCAGCCGCTTCAGGGCGAGGCATGGCTGCCCATGTCCCCTCGCCTTTAGGCAGTCTCTTTTGGGCGATAGAAGCTCTCCAAATGCAGTCACCAGCCACTTCGATCGGCCGGTAGAAGCGGCCTCGGGGCAAGCACACACACACACACTCCCCTCACCCGAAGCCGCTTCTACCGGCTGATCAAAGTGGCTGGTGACTGCATTTGGGGAGCTTCCATCGCCCAAAAGAGACTGCCTAAAGGCGAGGGGACATGGGCAGCCATGCCAAGCTCTGAAGCAGCTGGGGACTCTGCCTTTGGGGAGCTTTCGTCGGCCGATAGAAGCGGCCTCGCGGCGAGGTACGTGCGTAAGGGCCGCTCTAGGTGGGGGAGGAAATTAAGTCACCCCTGAAAAGACAGCCTCGCCGTTTTTTCAGGGGTCAAAAAAAAATAAGGCCCGGCCTTATTTTGTGAGAAACACGGTAATACTTCTAATAATTTGCTACAAAATACTATTTTATTATGATAATATGCATCCAAGATATGCTTATCCTTTAAATAGTAGTATTGGATTTGGTAGAGAGAGCTATGGACTATAAACATAAAGCTTTTGGTGTGTCCTGCACAATAGACACAATGCCCTTGCTGAACTTAATATTTATATTAAGGGGGCAGATTCAGCTCTTTGTGATGACAATAATGTCTCAACTGAGCAGGAGGTTGTGTTTCATGAGGAAGTTGTTTGGGTAAGAGAAGATGTGAATCAGGTATTGCAAATCAGCCATGTGAGGTGAGCAAGGTATCTAAAAAGAGAAGCCATCTTCTGGTGACTCAATTTAGAAGGTGTCAATTTAGGAAAGGATGTGGAGGTTTTGAAAGAGATGAGGTGTCTACCTCATGCTACTGCCAGCAGAAAAAAGAGGCACTTTGTTAAGATAGTCAAGAATGCTAGTAAGAACTGTGATGTTGATGTTGTTATGCATCTTGGCACTAAGACCAGTTACTTGGCACTAACTCTGGCCAAAAAAACGAGATGTACTTTCTGTGCAGAAGGATTTCCAGAGCGTGGGATAGGAATTTAGCATACTGTAGTCTTACTTTTTCAGAGGTTTTACCTGTATATAAGGAACAGAAAGGAACAGGCCACAAATAGCCAACACTCCAGAAGATAAGCTCAAGGTACAGAAGTTTCTCAACAGACTTGAACACTGGGCCCTATCTAACATAATGAAATTCATAGTGAAAAAAATAAAATTCTCACCAATGTACCCTTGGTAGGACAGTGGTTAGAATGCAGTATATAACTTCACCCACACCCTGGAGTTCGATCCTGACAGGGATTGAGGCTGACTCATCCTTCTGAAGTCAGTAAAATGAGGAACCAGATTGTTGGGGGTAATATGCTGACTTGGTAAACTGCCATAGGGTAGTATATAAGTGTAAGTGCTATTGTTAAGTTCTAAATTTAGGCAAGAAAAACCAAATGTACAGGATACCTGGGTCAAAAGTAATAACTGTGACAGTGATCTTGGAGTCCTAATGGACAATCACTTAAATATGAGCCAGCAGTGTGCTGCAGCTGCCAAAAAAAAGCCAGTATAGTCCTAGGCTGCATTAATAGAGGAATAGAATCAATATCACTGAAGTGTTTGTACCACTTTATAATGCCTTGGTAAGACCACACTTGAAATACTGCATCCAGTTTTGGTTGCCACAGTATAAAAAAAGATGTTGAGACTTTACAGAGAGTGCAGAGAAGAACAACAAAAGTGATTAGGGGACTGGAGGTTAAAACATATGAAGAATAGTTGCAGGAACTGGGTATGTCTAGTTTAATGAAAAGAAGGACCAGCAGTGACATGATAGTAGTGTTATAATATCTAAGGAGCTGCCACAAAGAGGGAGTCATCCTGTTCTCCAAAGTACCTGAAGGTAAAACAAGAAGCAATGGATGGAAACTAATCAAGGAAGGAACCAACTTAGAACTAAGGAGAAATTTCCTGATGGAACAATTAATCAGTGGAACAATCTGCCTCCAGAAGTTGTGGATGCTCCAGCACTGGAGGTTTTTAAGAACAGACTGGACAACCATTTGTCTGAAATGGTATAGGGTTTCCTGACTGAACAGGGGGTTGGATTAGAAGATCTCCAAGAACCCAACTCTGTTATTCTATTATTCTATTTGTGTTGATTGAAAAATCATATATTAATACACTCAGAACTTCAAAACAGCTGTACAAATTTGCTTGTTCGATGTGAAGTGTTGCTCATTATTTACCTCATCTTCCACTTACTTTCAACCCAAAATAAAATAAAATAAAATGTGACAATTAGAAATAAGATGGTGAAAACAATTTGCTTATTTAAGGCTCTTTTATAAGAGAAATAAATTTAAAACTTTTAAATTTGAAACTCAAGAATACTAAGTTTATATCCCATGGCTTAAATTGGAAATTAATCCATTCAAAGATTTTTTTTCATATCAGGAAAACTCATTATATAATTGTAATAACAGATTTGTTTGTTCTTTTTGTGTATTTTGTTGTATATTTTTCTTTCCTTAAGGATTTGTCTAGTAAATGTTCACATATCACTCATTTTACAATATTTTATGTCTATTTGAAATGGGACTATAATAACAACTATTAGAAACAGACTTCAGGCATTTAAAATACAACCTATATAACAGATGTATTAAAAATGTCAAAAAATCTTTTTCCTACCTTCCCCCCTCCCCCCCCAAAAAAAATGGTAAAAGATAGGCTTCATTTATTAATCAAATTTATATGGCTGCCCATTTCACCAGTTTAAAAAATTACTTGATATTGCTCAAGTAATAAATTAATTCACAGCACAGGCAAATAATGACCACATCATAATCATATCATAATCATATATTTTCTTTTCTATTGTAAATTCTTTTTATGATTTATGTGATGGTTCTTAATATTTAATAAAACATATTTCTATCCTGGTGCCAAAAAACCAAAACAAAACCCCTTTGGCAGCTTTTGTAGAATAAATAAATCATATAATAATTTTATTAGATATCTTATATATTTTACAGACAAATGGAAAATTATGTATCAATACATTTTAAAATTATAATTAAATCTGAAGTTACCTTTCCAATTGCAGTCATGCTAAAGAAAGGCTTCTCCAAACCATACAGCTGTTTTGGAGGCTCTTGAAGACAGCAGCCAGAATAAATGGGCAAATGGCTTTTTAAAAAAGAATGAAGTCTTGCCAAGCGCAGGGCAATTGTTGTGTCAAACACTGAGGTGTACAGCACATCTTCTTTAACAAATAAGCCTTTTCCTGCTTTTGGGACAGCTTTGGAAAATAATAACAGTACAGGTATGTATGTATGTATTTCATTTATTTAGCTGGAATTTTATAGCAATATGTATGATCTACCATGTTATAAAAATTACAAAATAGCTTACCTGCATTTCAAAGCAGATTTTTTGAGACATTACTAATCATGAGGAATAAATCAAAGTAATAATATCTCACATGAAATTATAGTGTGTACTTCGGTAACTTTCAGGCCTGCCATCAGTTTTTCTCGGATCTTGGGACATTTAGAAACATTAGCGGTAAGTCCTAGGCCATATTTTTTCTTAGAATCGTTGATTCATCTAAATCACTTCTATTTACCCTCTCCTTATTTAGTGACCAAGTCCTGTTCCAAAGACTTGGTTGTTAAGTGAACACCTGAGACAGGAGGAGACACTGCAAAGATCACTGGTTGCAGCTGTGTCATCTTGATAAAGTTCTCTCATACAGCTACCCAGTGTTACTCTCAGTCTGGCATGTATTAAAAATTGGTTGTAAATGCATACATTTTCAGAAAATGAATTTTATTATTATTGTATTTGCAAATGGCTGCTAATTAAAGATAGTTGCTAAATACGGAGTGGTGTATTAGTCTATATTAATCATCATGGGTTCTTCTTGCACTTTAGTGAAATCTGTTCCACAGAATTATCTAGAAATGCTAGACCAAGCATGTCCATAATGTGGCCCACAGGTGGCCCTGGGCAGCTAGTAATGCATCCCCACAGGATCATAAACTTTTAACATTATTGTGTGATTTATACACATTAACTATATTATATACTTCATATGTGACCCAAGATCGTTCTTCCTCCCTCAATGAGTCCAGTCAAGCCAAGAGGTTAGACACCCATGTACTAGACATTGTACTCAGAGGGTTAATATCTTTCTTATGAAAAATATCAATTCTACATTGATTTAAAACACTGTCCAACACTACTATCCCTGCTATTCCATTTGTACTATTTATAGTAATCTAAGTCTAAAGCCTACAAGCAGGTCAAAAGTGGAGGGGATTCTGGGAAATTGCATGATTTCCTAATGTTCCTTGGTATTTGTGTACAATGACTAAATTAAGTGGAAATAAAATTAAATCCTTTACAAAACTGCATTTTTAAAAGGAAACACCTTATTAATACATGAAAAGATGGGTGGTAATCCATAAATTTAAAAATGCAGCATTTTTATACTTAGGAAAACAATCAAACAATAAAGCTAGTTTCGTTTGTGTAATTTATCAAAATACTGATTCTGGAAAATGGGTATACTATTTTATAGAAACAATAGACCTGGTTGTAGCACAATATTAAAAGTCTAAGATATATTCCTACCAGCCAGCGGAGTCAGGTTCAAAAACCTGGTTAAGTATGTATGGTAGCGTAGTACATGAAGCCAAGGTATTTCCGGTCTGCCCTGGCTTTCTTTAGAAGCGACTCTTTCAACTCCATTACTTTCTGATTTTGTCTCTTGTACAGAACATACCACGGGAATTTTATAAGTAACTTCATATTTTCCTAGAGTATGGAATATTTGAAAAAAATTAAATAAAACACTGTAGCTACAGTAAATTTTAAGGATTTATACTATGCTAAATTTAGCAATAGAATTAGCTCTAATACATAGGTGCAGAGCTCTGGTCAGAGGTACAGAGTTGTAATGCAGACGTGTAATACACAGGTAGTTTGTGATCATTTTCTTCAATGGATAAATGTACAAGTATAATGTTTTTGACTCATTGTTTAATTGGATTCTGTGTATCGAATTTTAGAACTTGTGCGGAGAACAGATCATATTTTAGTTCACATTTATGCCGAATATTGAAAATTCATAAGGATTCTCAAAATTGTAAGCCCCATTGTCTCTGTTCCTGTAAGCATATTTTGGGTAGCCTATCAGTGCTACCCAATAATCCTCTGCCAATAGTGAAGGCTTTAATTATTACATGGCTATCTTACGGTTATTGACTAATCTGGTTTCAGCCATTTCCTTCTGATCGTGCCAGACTTAGCTGTCTAAATCCTGTATCTTGTGATATACACACTTATGTAAACCAATATCTTTACTGCATTTTAAGCAACAACGTGATTGTTTTTTTCCTCTAAGTTTGATCGTACATTTGCTGTATATTTTAATGATTGCTTTATTTCAACAACTGATAGTATTATGAAACAACTTATTACTGACATGCAAACACTTGTGAAGTTTGAGATCAAGAGCATAATAACATACTACCAATACCATTTAACAATAGTTCTATAGAGATAAAAAGAAAATTAATTAAATTATCTCAGCCAGAAAAATATTGCAGTATTTATAAACAATATAATTGAAATTAGATTTATATGGACTTGTTTAGGACTATACGAGGCAATTTTTTTTCTTATTACTTAAAAACAAGAAAAATATCCATTTTTGTCACTGTGCCTTTCCCCCCCCCCCCCCCCCCGTCACCTAAAATGGACAGTCATGACACTCTAATTCTCTATTGTATCAACATTTAGACCAGGTAACAATATAATATGAAAAAGTAAATACCAGACAAAAAATCTTTGTAAGAAGAACTGAGATCCAGAAGAGCAAATTCAGGCATATTTTGTTGCATTCTTTGTCTCATGTGATACAATTTAACAGCCTTTCTGCCAGTTAATTGCTGAGAGGTCAGAATTGCTTCACTGACCTAGATTTAAAATAGTAAACTTAAAACTAGAAACATATACAAACTACTGTACTAGACTAATTAATCTTCTAATCAGAGTCAAATGTTGAAGTGAACAACCACTGTTAAACATACTAAAGGAAGATTTCTGATTCTATACTGAAGAGAAGCCTTGAAATACAGTATTTAAAATTTGCAAATGATAATTAGTAAATGAACCTTTACAATGTAAAATAATTTGAACAGCAATATTGCTGAAACCAGCCATTATGATTTTGTCAGTTTTAACATATCTTAATGATACAAAAATAATCTTAAAATTGAAATAACACTTGTCTAATAAAGGTAATTCTCATTTAGTGACTTACTGGGGCCAGCAACTAAGTTATTAAGCAAAACAGTCACTAAGTGAAACAGTGATTATGTATACAATCTTATTTTAGCTTTCCTTTGCTTTACAGATCTGTGATGTCACAAATGTGTGGATTTGTTATAAAGTTACTTTTTCATCACTGTGAACCATTGCTAAACAAGACTATCTGCATATAAAAGATACAAAATACTGCCATTATATCCTTCCTTTATTCCTTTCAATGTAAATTATAAATTCCCCGTTTTTCCATTAGAAAGCTACGTGGAAAAAAAATAAGTGAAGATAAATCAGATTTAACAAAAAACACCACAAACCTGTGCAGCACTTCTTACAGCAATCCAGGCTTGTACTCTGTACATTTCAAGAACAGTAATATCTGCAGAAGTACTTGGACGTCTGTTAAGCTAAATGTAACAAAGATTGATTCACATTGGTGCAAAATGATAGATTATGAGAAAGAGCATCTATGTATATTTAAAAAATTATCCTACAAGAAAAACTTCTGAAATGCTATGAAAATACAGTCAACCTTAATGGAAACATATATATCTACTCCAAGGCTGTCAAACTCCCAGACCATGGCCAGATGTGTCACGGCTTAGCAAAGGGGGAAAAGTTCTGGTACATCACATGACACTGCCATGATGATGTGATTTTGACACCCCTGATCTACTCTGAAATAAACTTTATTGATTTACTCAAATGTAAGTGTGTAGAAAATTACTACTTAATGGTTTATGTTCTTTTTCCTTATGCTCTGTCCCTTAAATGGAACAGCACTTTGGTTTGCTTGTTTCAGAAAGGTACCTGACATTCATTCAGTTCCCAGCAATTTCAGTACAGAATAAACACTCTGAAACTGTGGCTAAGACTCCTCAATATGTTGCTAAGAAGTACTATTGTACCCTCAAAAAATTTCCCAAAGGTCCCTGTCTCACATGACATTATTTTTTTTAAATTATTTTCATTTAAAAAAACAAATTCAGCATGCTGCAAACTGAAAGACGAGCATCAATTTTACTTCTGAGAAGGCCTCTGGCATCAAAAACCTTCTTAGAACTTAAAAATGTTAAATAAACGCGACACAATGCTTCAGTGATAAATATGCTTGCATGTTTACTCCAAATAAAATGACATGCCAGAATGGCAAAGAGCAACTAGGATGGAGAAAGAATTAAAAATAAATATATTTGCAATAGTGGTAAATAAATATATTTCATATTTCAAGGAGGTTACACATTTTCCAAAATGTCCTAGGCATTAAATATCACACTTCAACCACTAATATCATTTAATATAGTAAAATAACAGCTTTGTTCTCTCCTGTTGAATCACTACACTCCTGTTGAAATTTTGTATATTATTCTTTTAACTTGTTGGGCCAATTCCTCAACTATTTTACCCATGGCAGACAAGAGGGACATTTCGTATTTTTTGGCTGCTAGCACTGGTTATCAGAAGTTGTGAAACCAAGACACATGAGCAGTTGAAATTATGCTGAACAGCTGGTGTTTGAGACAGGGAATTAATTGTGCAGATTACTGTGATGCTGTGGTCACAACCTGGCTTTACCTGAAGCAACGCAGTTTGATGATGATAATATTTTATTAGCATGCAAACAATAAAAAGGTGAACACTAGACTCCCAGAAAAGCATTAACAGCTTGTTGAGCAACCCTGAGTAAAAGCAAAATGTTTTACGTAGATCCCACTGGGTGATCTTTTATTATTTTTCTCTTCCTACTAGGTTAAGATGCTATCTACACTGCTCAAAAAAATAAAGGGAACACAAAAATAAGACATCCTAGATCTGAATGAATGAAACATTCTTATTAAATACTTTGTTCATTACATAGTTGAATGTGCTGACAACAAAATCACACAAAAATTATCAATGGAAATCAAATTTAGCAACCCATGGAGGTCTGGATTTGGAGTCACACTCAAAATTAAAGTGGGAAAAAAACACTACAGGCTGATCCAACTTTGATGTAATGTCTTAAAACAAGTCAAAATGAGGCTCAGTAGTGTGTGTGGCCTCCACGTGCCTGCATGCTCCTGATGAGGTGGTGGAGGGTCTCCTGAGGGATCTTCTCCCACACCTGGACTAAAGCATCCCCCAACTCCTGGTGCAACGTGTCGTTGGTGGATGGAGCGAGACATGATGTCCCAGATGTGCTCAATTGGATTCAGGTCTGGGGAACGGGCAGGCCAGTCCATAGCATCAATGCCTTCGTCTTGCAGGAACTACTGACACACTCCAGCCACATGAGGTCTAGCATTGTCATGCATTAGGAGGAACCCAGGGCCAACCGCACCAGCATATGGTCTCACAAGGGGTCTGAGGATCTCATTTTGGTACCTAATGGCAGTCAGGCTACCTCTGGCGAGCACATGGAGGGCTGTGCGGCCCCCTAAAGAAATGCCACCCCACACCATGACTGACCCACTGCCAAACCGGTCATGCTGGAGGATGTTGCAGGCAGCAGAACGTTCCCCACGGTGTCTCCAGACCTTGTCACGTCTGTCACATGTGCTCAGTGTGAACCTGCTTTCATCTGTGAAGAGCACGGGGCGCCAGTGGCAAATTTGCCAATTTTGGAGTTCTCTGCCAAATGCCAAACATCCTGCACGGTGTTGGGCTGTAAGCACAACCCCCACCTGTGGACATCGGGCCCTCATACCACCCTCATGGAGTCTATTTCTGACCGTTTGAGCAGCCACATGCACATTTGTGGCCCGCTGGAGGTCATTTTGCAGGGCTCTGGCAGTGCTCTTCCTGTCCCTCCTTGCACAAAGGCAGAGGTAGTGATCCTGATGCTGAGTTGTTGCCCTCCTACGGCCTCCTCCATGTCTCCTGATGTACTGGCCTGTCTCCTGGTAGCGCCTCCATGCTCTGGACACTACGCTGACAGACACAGCAAACCTTCTTGCCACAGCTCGCATTGATGTGCCATCCTGGATGAGCTGCACTACCTGAGCCACTTGTGTGGATTGTAGACTCCGTCTCCGACCACTAGAGTGGCAGCACCGCCAGCATTCAAAAGTGACCAAACCATCAGCCAGAAAGCATAGGGACTGAGAAGTGGTCTGTGGTCACCACCTGCAGAACCACTCCTTTATTGGGGATGTCTTGCTAACTGCCTCTGCTTTCCACCTGTTGTCTATTCCATTTGCACAACAGCATGTGAAATTGATTGTCAATCAGTGTTGCTACCTAAGTGGACAGTTCGATTTCACAGAAGTGTGATTGACTTGTGTTGTTTAAGTGTTCCCTTTATTTTTTTTGAGCAGTGTATATTATCTCAGAGATGTGATTGGTGAATAGAAACAATGTAATTTACTGGGCCACAGTTCTTGTCTGATTCTTCCTCCTATTGTCATTCTCGGTCTATTTAGCTTCCTGTGAATGTTTTCACAAGGCCACTTTAAACAGTTCAATTGAGGGGTGGGAGGGAGAGACGTCCAGTTTGGTAGTGAATGTAGGGTATCTTTCCCATGAGAGTGGGAACTTAAAGTATCCTAAAAATATAACACCAGGGGATGGTGTGAGAAACTTGGACTTTCCTGAAAACAGCAGCTAATGAGAAGGAAATTTCCTTCCAGGTAGTCTATAAAAAGAGTCAAGTATTTTTATTTAGTTTCAATTACTTCTTGTTGGTGTTAAGCCAATCACAGTCTAGTTTCATGTCTTCATATTAGATTACCAGTAAACCAATATATTTACAAACAAAGTGGCTTCAAAAAAAAAGAGTTCTGGTCTCTTTTGCAGCCAAAGGAAGATAGAGGAATGTCAGGGAGCTGACTGAAGGAAGTGATTCCACAGACAACTAGCAGAATCCATTGGAGCTACAAGATCTCTTGGTATGGAGCAGATGATTTCAGGCCAGTTCTGCAATGCCCATTTATACACATTATCTTGATGTGGGATATTCAGGAAAATATCATAGCATTCCAACTATTCTTGAGCTGGGTGAATTGTGGAAGGGACAGATAGAAGAGAGGCCTGTAGATATATGCTCAGAGACATATTAATAGCTTGTCCTCATACCAGGCAAGGGAGCTATGTGGATTTGCACTTAGATACATCCGGCCCTTTCAATTCCTGGCAAATAAATGGGTAAGAAATGGAGATAGTGACAGATTTTATTTTCCTGGGCTCCAAGATCACCACAGATGGGGACTACAGCCAAGAAATTAAAAGATGCTTGCTCCTGAGGAGGAAAGCTGTGGCAAATCTAGACAGCACACTAAAAAGCAGAGACATCACCTTGCCAACAAAAGTGTGCATAGTCAAGGCAAAAGTGTGCATAGTCAAAGTGTGCATAGTCAAGGTTTTCCCAGTTGCAATGTATGGCTGTGAAAGTTGGACCATAAGAAAAGCTGAGCGCCAAATAATTGAGGCCTTTGAACTATGGTGCTGAAGAAGACTCCTGCGAGTCCCTTGAACTGCAAGGCGATCAAATCAGTTAGTCCTAGAGAAGATCAACCCTGACAGCTCTGTAGAAGGCCAGATCCTGAAGATGAAACTCAAATACTTTGGCCGCCTAATGAGAAGGAAGGACTCACTAGAGAAGAGCCTAATGCTGGGAAAGATTGAAGGCAATAGAAGAAGGGGACAACAGAGAATGAGGTGGCTGGATGGAGTCACTGAAGCAGTAGGCGTGAGCTTAAATGGACTCCAGAAGATGGTAGAGGATAGGAAGGCCTTGAGGAATGTTGTCCATGGGGCTGCGATGGGTCGGACACGACTTCGCAACTAACAACATTCAACATCAATATTCCAAGGATCAGCATAATACAGTTCTTCTCAAGCTGAGGTCCTTTCAGAGGGTCCACAAAGTTAAATAAATATTTTGACATTTCTGAGTCTTAATTTCTAATACAGTATATATTGATAAATTTAACCACATAAATCAAGGCTCCTTGGAGTTGTCAATCAATTTTCAAAAATATAAAGTAGTCCTGAAACCAAAAAAGTTGAGAACTGCAGGGTAATATATGTAGTAGTGTTTGTAATGTAATACCATATTTTGTGTGCATGTGTGATGTTTTCGCAGGTATTTATATGTATGGCATATAGGTTTCTTCGGATATTTTCCCACGCCTTAATATTTGTGCTTTTATTATAGCGATGTTTCAGCAGAATCTTATCTGCCATCTTCAGGCTTGTGTATTGGGTTCTTTTTAATCTCGTGTGTCAGGCTTGGCAGCCGCTTTTTGTTTGAATTTGGTGCTGGCTTTCTGCTTTATTTGAGTGGTTTTTTCCTCATCCTGATTGGCTGGGAGTTTAGGTCTGTTTTTATTGGTCTTCGAGTTGCTGTCTTCTTGATTGGTTGGCAACATTGTGTTTTGTGCATTGGGGTTTCTTAGTGCAGCTTGGTTTCTTGTGAATGGCCGATAATTATTTATTAGGAAGCTAGGTTTTATTTGGGTAGCTGGCTGGGACGTGTTTGGGCTGGAGGTATTGGGGGGGTCTGTTTGTGTCCAGGTGCTTGACTGGATTGTGGTATAGAGATTTTTTTGTTTGTGAGTGCAGGCTTCCAGATGATTGATAGTCTGGTGGAGTCATCTCTTCTATTCATACTATTAGGTCTTTTATCAATTTCTATGGCTTCTCTAAAGATTCTGTAGCCGGGGTTTTCTATAATAGCTAGGGTTTTGGTGCCATTGAAGTCGATGCTATGACCTATGGCTTTCATATGTTGGACGAGTGAGGAAGTGTGTTCCAGCTTTTTTATTGCATCTTTGTGTTCTTCAAGGCGGGTACTTATTCTTCTGTTGGTTTGTCCTATGTATGTGGCAGGGCATGATGTGCAGGGTACTTCATATATGCCTTGGTTTTCTAGGTCAATTTTATCTTTGGGGTTTCTTAGGATGGCTGCTATTTTTTTGTCCATTTTGAAGGCAGTCTTGATGTGATGCCCACGTAGTATCTTGCTGATTTTGTCTGTTGTTCCTCTTATGTAGGGCAGGACAGCTGTTCAGGTTTGTTCATCTTCTATTGTGTTTCAGTGTGTTTTTGTGGATCAGGTCCGTGGTTTTGTTTTTGTGGAAGCCGTTAGCTATCAGTATTTTGGTCAGGGTGCATAGTTCAGTCTTTTTGTATGCTTTGTCTGCCAGGCGTTCGGTTCTGGTAATTAGTGTTTTGGCTACGGAGTTTATTTGTGCTGGGTGGTGGTGGAATTGAGCATTTAGGTAGCGGTTGGTGTGTGTTTTCTTCTGGTATATTTTCTTCTGGTATATCTATATAATATATGCAGAAGTGTCTGTAGGAGTTAAGTAAATAATATCAAATGATAATAACAGCAGCATGATTATAGATCTATCTATCTATCCATCCATCCATCCATCCATCTATCTATCTACCTACCTACCTTTCTCCTCATTTGCTCTTTGTACCATGGCTCATTGAGCAACCACAATTAGGAGCAGCAACTAGATTGTTAAATGGAGCAGTTGCTAGGATTGGTTGCAAATTTCTTTTTTCCCACCATTGTAAATGTGAACAATTACTTAACAAGGGCTGCTGTATATATAACATTGATTCTTATACAACAACGATAGGATTTCAATCATGTTACCTTGCTCACTGTCTTGACATTTTGACCCCTCAAATCAATTCAACTTCATGTAAACCAGATGCAGGAACTTTGCAAAAATCAATAACAATGTCTCTATATTCAGGCATATATCTTTATAGATCTGTAACATAATACTAAACTTGGTGTTTAAATATATGGTTAGCCTTAAAAACAATTATACATACCCTCTGCTTAAATGTTCTTCCTTTCACAGTACCTGAAGTAGGAGACTCTTCCTTGTTTGTACATAAATAAAAGTAAAGCAGTGCTATCTCCATGTATGATCTTCTTATTAATCTTCAAAAAATAAATGAAAAAGCAAGGAATCCAAACATCTTATGTTAGCATTTGGCAAACATTTAATTTATATTTTTAAGTGAATAAGTTTTATTCATCCAAGCCTTTTAAATGTCTTATGGTCTGGACTTTTCAGTGTAAATTGTATGTTTTAATTATTATTTTCTTTTAATTGACATGCTAGTCTAAAGGACATAGGAAAAAAAAACTGCTCACCCATAGTGCTGGTAACTCAGCAGGCTTAAATTTATGGCATCCAGCAAGCTGTCAACAGCTAATTCTGATTTATTAAGACCTAATGAATCAAGTTGTCGTTCTATTCTTCCTAAAAATGACATATATGAATTTATTTAAAGAGATTTGTTTTTTCCTGATAGAGCTAATAAAGCAGAATATTGTTTTCTTTTCAGTTATATTTTCTTAAGAATTTTTTTAAAGGCAACGGCAAAGAAAACTTAAACTATAGAAAACTACAAACTACAGATTACAGAAAACTACAGATCACTGATAAAATCCACATGATATATGAATATCAATAGTAGGAATCAACACAATATAAATCACAAAATTAAATTAAGAATGACAGTAAATTCTATTAAGGAGCGGAAAATCCAATTTCATCTAATAGATTATTAAGAACTAGCATATTAAGATTTTATGTTAAGAGAAACTCAAACTTATACCACAAGTATATATTTAGAATTGTAACCCAAAGATTTCTAGGTTCACTTAAATTCTGCATCAGATTTACATTTAGCATACAATGCAAAGTTGATGTAGGAGATGATCAGGCTGAGCCTGAGGAAGGGGTCATCATCAATCATGAGTCCCTTTATGCCTACAAGAGATTTAAGATCAGCCCACCTTCATTTTTTTTTACTCTTATCTACCACCAATCTGCTTTGACTAGTAGTAGTTCAGATTCTTGTAGAGTGCTTAAACTTGCAATGAGCTTATACTCATTAAAACTGCCTGGATTTTCTGATTTCCCTGGGGCTTGACAATTATTGGATATCAAGACATATATATGCATAACTTAATTAGGCAGGGGGAGCTATACGTACAATACTTTGCAATGTGAAGCAGAGTATACAAAACAGAATACTATAAATTGTTTGGGAGCTAGATTACCAACTCTCTAGGTCTCAGATGCAACATGAAATTTGAGCAGTTTATAGAAAAAAAAGAATTTTACCTTTTCGAAAAAGAAGTTCAGCTTCTAGATCTAAATCTTCTTTTACTGATGCTACAGAAAGTTTTAGTGCTGTTTCTGTGTATTGTAGGGCTTTTACCCACTGCAACTCACTCTGAGGTTTGGATTTACATGACAATTCTAAAGTTAAAGTATGCCCTAGAAATCAATTTACAGGAAATTATTTCACCAATTCTAAAGCAAAATAAAAGTCAAACATTGAATAAATAAAATGTAGCCCCTTAATACAAGAAATGAATTATTCCAGAAATATATAGTATTTCGCAACTGGAATTTAGGAGCGCATACTTATATTTTCTCTAAACTACATACATGTAGTGTCTCGCTTAATGATCCCAACTCTGACCAGCAACTCCACTGCTAAACAAAGCAGTCGCTAAGTGGGAAATATAACCATGATGTGCTTTCCAGCTGTTTTGTTCTTCTATACATCAAAAGCAATTTGTCTATGCCAGCAGCAGGAAAGTGTTAAGCAAAAGAATGACTGCCCACAGAAATTGCTTGCTTTTTTTTTCTCCCTTCCCCTCACAGAGAGGAGACATTGAGGAAAAAAATGATTTCATGAGTGTACTGTAAATTGCAGTTTCTTGCAATTCCTCTCCAATCTTTCTGCTCTGCAAAAGGGGAAAAAATAATGCAGCTCAGACACAGGAGAACAACATCTAACTGTAACAGTGATCATGTTGACTGAGGGAAAAAGTAATATATAGTCATAAATGGCTGTAAAGCTATTTTTTCACCACCATCATAACTTTGAATGATCACTGAATGAATGGTTGATAAGCAAGGACTTCCTGTAGAAAATGATGAATCGTGCCCACAGAAGAACAAGAATAATGCTAGGCCAACAATCAGCAATGTATTAATTAATCCAGTCCCAATTTTCAAACCCCCATAATGACAAGTGATTCATACTATGTATTAATCAGACACTACAGCCAATTCAAAAATTTATGGAATTAAAAAAAACTGTTGGACTCAACAATATATTAATTAACGTAACATGTGAATTGGAATAATTGAAAGTCAATTTATCTTTGAAACAAACCCTTTTGCAAAGGATTTCCATGGAATGTTGATGTTAAATACAAAATCATATAATTTCCATATGATTTATATTTTCTTAATTCTCACTCCATTATATCTGTTTATTCCATCAATACTTTTCATTACTCAAAGGAAAACATAACAGTTATGCAGTGACATTTACAACTAGCTCATTCTTGAAAACAGGAAAATCTGGTAGTCTATGAAAGAATGTACTGAGGAAAGAAGCAACAGATCAATTAATTTCTGCAGCTCTGCCTTTTAGAAAAGAGGTGCTACAGTTCAAAGCAAAGCTTCTGATTTTACAAAAGTGAGTGATCAAGTGGTTGGTTTGGGTGTGTTGCCATGGAGGTTGGGATTTTATGGTTTTTATGTTGTGGATTTTAAATCTTGTGAGCCACCTGTGTGTGAGTTGGGTAGTTATATAAATGTGTTAAAATAAAATTTATTTAGCTTCCATAATTGAGCAAGACTTTGCTTCTATGTTTGACTGAAGAATTAGGATTTCTGTCTTATAAAAAAGATTATTTTAATATAAATTCATTAAACATTATCCTGTTCGTTTTACATAGTTTATATCTGCTATAAATTATCAAAAACATGAAACACAAAATAGTTGTAGGCATAGTAAGTTATAGAAAGATGTTTTTAAAATGTATTTATATGTATCGATGCTAGCAAAAAAATTATAGTATAACTTTATATATGAAATTAATAGATTCCACATACATTAAATACCTTAATAATAATCTTAGTAATAATCTTCAGAAATAACAAAAGTCTGTATTGTATTAAACAGTCCTTACCAATTCTCATTTTGACTTTTGCCAGTAATGCGATATGTGGGAGATATATGTTCATCAAAGGCATTTTTAGAGTTGTTAAAGTAGGATCTTGTCTATGTTGTTCAAGTGATTGCCCCAAAATAAACAGCTATTGAAAATATCAAATTTTGTAACGAAAGATAAGCACATTATCAAAATACCCTAAGGGACAAATCATTTAGCCCCATAATAACTCATAATAGCCCAACAGCATGGGACAGCAATTTACTGACTAGGGAAAAAGACAAAGAGAAGGGAATGGCTGGAAAATAAGAAGTCACATAAATATATCTCAATGTCTAAATAGATCGTTTCCCACTTCATACTTAAAAGCTTCATTGAAGTGTCCATAAGAAAAGAAGAAAGTACTTTCCTTTAAAAAAACTTACAAAAAAAATCAGAATTTGACTTTGGCCATCTATGTCTTCTGAGCCTCAATATAAACACAAATTAAAATTTGTATGATATATAGATAATTGGAGCAGAAATATTCTCAAAATTCCCTAATGCTCATTAAGCTCTAACTCTTTAGAGAAAAAAGAGAAAAAATTTAACAGAGGTCTGTGGGAATGAAGAACGCTCCATGATATGGTATTATATGAAGAGCTCAACTAATACTGTTTCCAACTAAATAAAACAAAAACTTGTAATTAGTATTTGTGTATCTAATTCTTATATTTCAATTATATTCCAAAAATAATCCATTCATGGTAAACTAGTTTCAGTAAATTAAAAAATGATTATATTTTCTTCCGATTGAACAACTGAATGGCAAACCAAGAACGTTTGGATCAGGGAGATCAGGATCAGATCCAGGGGTGGGATTCAAACTTTTTAACAACCAGTTCTGTGGGTGTGGCCTAATTTGTGGGTGTGGCTTGGTGGTCATGTGACTGGGTGGGTGGTGGCTTGCTGACTGGGCATGGCTTGGTGGGTTATGTGACTGGGTGGGCATGGCTTGCATGTAAATATTATAAATATTTATGTAAATATTGATTTTTTTATTAAAAAAGAGCAACTTTTACCCAAAAGCAGGCAAAGCAGGCAGGCAGATTGAGTTGCTCGCAGAATTACAGATTCACTTAGAGATTCATCTATCTGCAATTGGCTATCTGAGTCTGTCACATAAAATTTACTTGCAAGCAAACTCACAAAATTAACTCACAATACACCATGTATATAAATATTGATTTTTTTATAAAAAAGAGCAACTTTTACCCAAAAGCAGGCAAAGCAGGCAGGCAGGTTAAATTGCTCACAGAATCACACTTAGAGATTTATCTATCTGCAATCGGCTACCTGAGTCTGCACTGAAAAGCTTCAGTCCTAAGGAAGCTTTGGCTCTGCTTTTAGATTAGCTAGAAAGCAACAAATCCAAGGATTTCCTGCTTTCTAGCTAATCTAAATCTCCTGGCAGAGCAGAACAGCTGATAGTCAGCTGATAGAAGAAAGAGGAAAAATAGCAACTTACCAAGCCAGGCAAGTTGGATGGCTCACATGCCAGGTAAGGAATGAGTGGGAGGGGAGGGGAGGGGCCAGCCAGTGGAGCGATTTGCAGTTCTCTGAACTTGGGACAATCGTGTGTGCAGTGTTTGCAAGAAATCATCAGCTATGCCGCCTGGACAGCTGACAAGCACTGCGCTCGGGTGCAGAGTGTTTGAAAATCCTCTTGCTTTTTCAACCTCAGCTGTGCTGCTCAAAGCAGCTGAGGAGGGAAAAGCAGGGAATAAAGGACAGACTAGAGCTCGGGCAGAGGGGTGGGCCAAACACCGAACCTGTTCGGTGTCAGCTGCTCTTCGCAGCTACAGGTTCTATAGAACCGGGCCGAACTAGTAGCATCCCACCCCTGATCAGACCCACAAATCTGACAGTAACCTTACCAATCTTTCTATCACTTTTTATCTATCCATATACATACACTTGCACTTGCCATATACAAATGTGATAAAAGGAACATACATTTCTTCTAAGAGTTTGAAATATAATTTGTTTACAGAGCATAGTCTAGATGCAAAAGATCAAAACAGTAAAAGGTTCCTGCAACATGATCCATCTGAAGTCCACCCTTCCTTTGCATACTTGGCACAATTTCAAAAACAAAATTTAATGTGATTTGATTCCTGGCCTGGTTTTAAAAGTCCACCAATATATGACATTATTTTTGTTTTATATTTAACATTCCATTTTAAACTTAAAAATGCAGTAGCTGAGGATAAGACTGATGAAAATCATCAAAATTTAAGCCTTTCCAATGATGGAAAGGTCAGTGCTATTTGTATTTAAGCAGTGAACACTGAAAAAATATAGTAGTATTCAATTATTAGTATATACTTACCTGTTTAATTACTAGTGCGTGTGCCTGAACTAATACATTTAACTGGTCAGTTTTAGATGATTCTGAACCATCTTCTGTTTCTGTTCTCATTATATCAGCTAGCAGAAGCATACTCTGTACTAATATTAAATTAGCTGGTGGAGAAATCAGTGTTTTTTCTTCAAGCAATTTGATTACATTCTGTGTGAACAGAAAGATGATAGATAAATAGATAGATAGAAGATAGATAGATAGACAGACAGATCTACATCTTCAGCTCTCAAATTCTATTACCAAAGACATGCTTTCTAAATTTATCCTGTTTTCTATCATTACTCTTCTGCCAAGCAATAGTTCTGTTTTATAGATAAGTATACAGAATTCTTGACTGCAGCTATATATAACCCTAACCCTCTTAAGACTGTGCAAACTTTTGAACATGACTCTTCTCAAAATTTGATTCAATTAACAGCATGGTTAGAACCACCTACTACATAAATCTAACAGCAAGATACAATCTTCCTTGATGCAGTACTCACTCCATGAAAAAATAATGTGACAACCAAATTCCTGAAAATGTTATTTCTGCATTTTCCTTATGAAATTCTAAAACTGTTAGTAAATAATTAATCTCAGATTATTTTACTGTAAAATGCAAATTAAATTATGAATAGCATCAAAATGCATTTGTTTCATAAGAATGATACAAGGAAATAATTGATAATTCACTTTTGTCTTAATACCTGTAAATGAAGCTTGATATCAGCCACTGGTAGTCTTTCTTGAAGGCCAAGTATAACAGCTTGCATGGTACTTTCAGCAAGAGTCTCAACATCATTGAATGCTTCAGCTTCCATTTGTAATTCATTAATCAGACTAGAACACTCTGTTAATTCATTTTCTTGAAGAAAAGTAAAATAATACCATCAAGAATAATTATGGTACAAAGTATTATCTTATAATACTTTATTATTGTAATTGATATAAATTATTTGAGCATATAAGTTATTTGAACACATTTAACATAGTTCTTAATATTATTTTATGAGAAACGTTAACAAAAATATATTGCTTTTATTATCTCAGCACAGCACATATAGACCCTCCTTAACTACGGTAATTGGGATCAGAATGTCCATTGCTAAGTGATGCGGTAACTTTAAGTGAATTACCATGGAACATTAAATGACAACTCCACATAATTGCAACTTCTGACTTCTTGGAGATTTCCCACTCATTTTGCTTGTGGGAAGCCTGTACAGAAGAAGGTAACAAATCATAGAACACTGCAAAGATCAGAAACCTGGACTTGTTTCTGAACACCCAAATCCCAATCACATGACTGTAAAATCACTGTGATAGCTGTAACTTTGATGAAGCCATAAATACCATTTATTTAAGTGCTGCTGTAAGCGTGAATGATTGCTGAACAAGTAGTTGTTAACCAAGGAACCACCTATAGAGATTTACAATGTTACTTGAATACTCAAGAGGACTCAATGTCTAATTATGATCATTCACAGGGGTTTATAGTGCTAGCGAGATGCAATGAAAATCAGCTTCTACAAAAAAAGTATTTCTAGACAAGGAAGCAATCATGGGAAAATATGCATAAATATACAAATATTTCTGAAGAGGTAACACAGGTAGCTTTGAGAATTAAATTTTGTGTATGCATTTATCTGACTACCATTGACTACTGATTACCTTTCATTATTTCAATGCCTCTTGCCTGTGCTGTAATTGCAATCACTAATGCCAAACGACATTTTAGCCATATGTGTATATTCAAATGTTCTCGTGCAGTTATATTGTGAATTAGATTAGAATCCTCAGTAGAAATCCTTCCATCATATCCCTGATCAAAAGAGGAAAATGAACTGAATTACTAAGTTTAATGTTCAATTGTTCTATAACTGACTAATGCATTTTAACATATAGAATGTCTCTTATATGTCATGCTTACTAAAATGTTTTAAGTGTAAAATACTGTATATAGCTTTCATTATGCCACATGGAATACTTCTGTATTAAACTAAAAATCCATAAAATAACAATAGAATAATTTAAAAAGCATTTTAATATTTATTATAAAGTTGCGACCCATCATGCTTTCAACATTATCCTCTCTCATCAACTTAATAAAATGTGAAAACTGAAATATACCTTATCTGTTCTCTCTGCATCTTTTTGAGAATTAGATGTATCTGTGAAAACCTCTGCATCTTGAAGAAGTTTTATTGCAGAAAAAACCAGTGCAGCACTATAACCAAAAAACACAATTTTATAGACATATACATGTTCTGTCTTGCCTTTCCTCTTTCCCAAAATATGAAAGAGTACAAACTCACACCAACACAGGCAGGCAAGCTGGCTCGGACTTCACAGAGTTAATTCTTTGGAACTGATAATATTCTTGGCATTCCCACATGTCCTGCCTGCCAAGTCCGAACTGATAAAGTTTGACTCACAGAAAATCACAAGGCAGTCCACAAAAATAGTCATTCACGAAGAAAATCTGAAGTAAGGTTAAACTTTGTCCCGTACAAAGTTTCAGGAGAAAACCCACCCACTTTTATCCCCTGTGGGGTGTGGCTCAATGACTCAGCTCACTCTCTGACCCTCCCACACCTCCTACGTTGCTGCTCACGTTTCTGCCTACGACGCTGCTTAGGATCGAGCCAACACTCTTCCTCTTTACTCCCTGTCAGGGGCTGCTCCGATATGCCTTCCTCCTGATTAATCTCAGGCTGTTCCTCTCGGTTGTCTGATGGAACCTGAGGCATTATCAGGGAGGAAGGTCCTGGGGAGGAAGGCATTGCCAGAGAGGAAGGTCCTGGGGAGGAAGGCATTCCCAGTTCCTCCTCCTCATCTTCCAGGTCCTCTTCCTCTGACAGCATAGGCTCGGGAATCGGGGCCACAACATATACATATTCTATAGATTATGGAATAATTTACCAATTTCCATTCATTTACTTGTTAATTTTGATTCATTTATGCAAAAAGATAATGGGAGCATCTTCCAAAGGAGCTCTGTCACATGTTAATAGTCACACAGGATTTTAATAGAATCACAGAGGGGAAGGGACCTTGGAGGTCGAGGTCTTCAAATCCAATCCTCTGCCCAAGGCAAGAGACCTTATTGCATAGAAAAGCCAATTGTTTAGATCAGAGTTTGTCAACCTCAGCAGTGTTAAAATATACGGTTTTACTTAAATCCCACACACCTTAAATTTGCTGAGTTTGAGAAACACACTAGAGATTCAGATTGAAACTGTTAAGAATTTAAAATTTAATACATATATATGATAGCCCTACATACTGCTTATTACAACAATCAAGGTATGAATAGCTGTTGTCATTTCGAATGGCTCAGGAAAATGTGTTTCCTGCCACAGTCACCAAATGTAATTCAATTATCAATGAATAACTGCTTTTCTAATTTTCTAATATTTAAATGATTTAAGTATCAGTTAAGACAATCATCTATGAAGCACTGTTTTCAGCAAATGTTAGTTTTATTCCAGTAGAAAAATGGATTTATCAAGATAGTTTTTTTTAAATTCACCTGAAAGCTGTTTGGAGTCTCTGTTGAGCAATAGCTGCAAGCTGAAGTTTAGCTTCAATGACAATTTCCAGTTCTATGGCTGAACATTTATATATCAGTGCACCATACTTACTCTGTATGGTTTCAAGAATTAAATTAATTCTTTCTTCAGCTTCTGCCAATAAAATTCCCTAAAATAATTAAAACTATATCACTGATCAATTAATAAAAATTAAAATAAAAAATAAAATCTATTTAAATATGAGCAAACATCATTAAGAAATAAGATATTTAGATCAATTAAGCAGATTTAAATATTATAGATTCAAAATGTTTGCATTTAAATTCCTTATGTTAATGAATATAATATTTGTTGACATTGTATTTGTGAATATTGAGGCATTCAGTGTTATTAATATCCACAAATATTATTAGTTTCACAGCTAGTTCTTCAAATAATACATACACACCAATGATTCTATGCCATATTGAACATGTAACTATAGTGTTAACCGGGATATATATATATATATATATATATATAT